AGTACATGGACATATTAAATTAGATTTCATATAATATCATTTTTCAACCTGCTTCCCATGCAGTGTTTTTTTTTTTATTTTTATTTTATTTTTTCCCCTTACGACAACGTCGGTATTCTATATCGATTAGATATACTTATCAACTGAGAATTAATTTTTTAACGTGAAAGGGACGCCATACATTTTTAAGTAAAACATACATAACACAGCGTTAGTCGTTGAATTTCTACAAAGTTTTACATTTTGTGAATTATACATGAGTTAGGAAATTAAACTTGAGGAATAATTTATTTGGAAATAAACACAAACGACATGTAGTTATTTGTTTTTAGAAATTGTATCGAAAAATAATGACGCCACCTGTCTTCTTTGCTACCCCAGCAGCGTTTGTCGTGTGATTTTAAACTTGTCAGACAACCATATAAATTGGGTTTAATAAAAATAAACCCCCAAGATACAGATGTAGATGTAACACTAACTGTCATGATGCGCCGTTGCTTTATTTTTCTGTTTTTACAGAAAGTTGCATGGGATACCCGATTTCGCGGATTCAACGATACCCTGCTATCGGGGACTATATGCGATTTCACGGATAATACCCGATTTCGAGTATTCTCTCCAACCTGTTACAATGCAATGTAGTGTAGGACAGTTATATTTTTATTTAAAAGCTAAATTAATTAGCTTGCAATTAAAGAACTTCACTCGACACTCCAATTTTCCTCGGGATGTTTCGCATATATCCATATCAGTGTTTCAATAAAAAGTCAGCAAAAGTAACTGTTCTTTGATGAGAATTTAGCTCTTAGTACTGTTATCCGAATATATTCTGTTTATCCTTCCTGGTGCTTATCTGCATCACTCTCAAAATTTACACTCATCAAACACGAGATTTCTTTCTTTTTCAATCTTTCATATACCCAAACTAGGCGTTGTATAAAATAATAAACAGCAATGAAAAAATTTGTCGAAAAATCCTTCGACATTATTACTGCATTCTTAATTTAGATTTGTATGAAAGAGAGCAATCATATAAGGAAATGTGAATGAAAATATTCCATCCAGTATGTTTTTCAAAACTCTTTTAAAAATAAAAATTTATTAGAAAATTTGTTAATTTACACCTTATTTTCAATACCATAATGTAAAACAAAAATGGACTTCATTTTATATATTAATGGAGATTGCATTGTAGTGCAGTGCAATAAAATGCAGTTAAATTCTTATTTTGTTCATTTCTTTTGAATCTTTTGCGCATACTCAAACTAGTCATTCGATAAAAAAAAAAAACCAGTAACACGTAACTTTGCGAAAGTCCTTCGACTTAATTACTGATTGTTAATTTTGAATTATATTTATTATGGTATAATTATTGTACAAAATTTCATTGCAAAAGCTCAAAAGCTTCTTGTGATATCGCCCGGAAACGAAAGCGTTACACACAGACGGAATGTACGAATTAACGACCTTGAGCTTTGACGTTTTGACCTCAAAATCAATAGGGGTCTTCCTTAGGCCACAGGGAGTTGTTATATAAAATGTCATTACAAAAGCTCAAACAATTCGCGAGATATCACGCGGAAACGAACGTGTTAAAAACAGACAGAATTTGTGAATTTATGACCTTGACCTTTGACCTTTTGACCTCAAAATAAATAGAGTTCTTCTTTAGGACAGACAGAAATACAGACGTTCGGATGGACAGGCAGACCCAAATTAATATCCCTCACTTTCAGTGAAAGAGGGGGAAAAAGTCGACAGCAATTCGTTCAGAACACTTAGAAGTACATTTTATAAAATTACGCATTTAAATAATTGAAATGCTGAAAACCAAAGCTTTACGTAATATTTAAAAGTGCAAGTTCATCATCTATATTTGCAGCATTAATAATAACATATCATTCCGCACACCTGGCGTAATCTGGTGTAATTATCATAACCATTCTCACTTCTTGGCGTCGACTAATTTTTGGAATGATTTAAATCATACGTGTCAATGGCTAAGAGGAGCGCTTCCTGAAGAAGGCGTGGCATATATATGATGTAAGACCTACATCATAAAGATAATTTATAATTTTTATCATGTATTTCATGTAATGTCATTAAATTAAGACTATCAAAATTTGTACAAATTAACATACATTATTTGGCAAATGTGCCAGGTGTTAGTTTGAGAGGTTATTGTCTGACGTCATGGCGTCAGACAGTATTAGATTTAGCCAAGGCTTGTTGGTCAAGTCGTTCAATAGAAATTTTGTGATAACTTGATCTTGGAAACTTCATACTATCTTAACTATCAAATGGAGAGCACGAGGAGTAAAGGAAACATGCTGAACACCCAAACAAGCCAGAGTGCCGCTGATGTCATTATTATCACATTATACATTACAGGTTACATAACATTTGGCCATTCTCCGAATGCATCATATGTTCAGCAAAACAGAAGGAATGAAGCTGGTCAGCCAACACTTAATTGCCGATTATCTTATCAGATTAACTAATGGATGTTTATTTTCAATGCATACTAAGTCTCTCTACCTTTAGAATTTTTAGAAATCTACACATTCATAACTTGCAGACTTTTGATTTTTCATAGTAATAAAAATATCAAAGTGAGGAATATAGATGTTGAATATTCCTTTGCTTAAATGCAAAGATATTAGCACACGTTTATTTATTTTTTTTTAATAAAACATTTCTTAATTATCAAAATTGTTCACCAATTGATGTTTAGATTTTTAGGTGTTGTAGCTTTTTCATTCAAAAGCACTAGATATAATTTTGTATCCATGAACAGGCCTGTTGGAAGAAATTTCAGAAATTTTCAGTTTAGGGTGGACACTATCTAGGAAAAAAATCCTTATAGAGCATAAAAAAATTACTGAGTATTAGAAGCTAATATTTACATGATTTAGGGGACACAAGCAAAAAATAGCTATGTATAAATCGGCAAAATTATTGGGGGCACGGTCCTCAACATACCCCACTTTGCGGTTCCTACGTCCATGAAAAATGAAATTATATACAAGAAATTAAGTGTATATAGAATAAATTCATGTCCAAGTTTTATTTTATGTTGATGCCTCAGAATTGAACTTTTCTTGTTTCTTAGCAAAAGAATTCATTTCATATTGATTAGACTGGATTTAGCTTTTCTTAATTTATCGCATAAAATAAATTTGCTCGTGTCAGACAAGCTTTTTAGGAAAGCTAATACTTGTTGCTCTATTACATTTAGTTTTCTAAGTTTCTAAACAGAAAAGTACGCCTTGATAAATAAATTGTACAGTACAGTAGCCCCCCCCCCCACCCCCCTAAAAAAAATTCTCGCATTGTTAAAAATGCACATTGGCTAGGAAATGTTTACTTTGTAAATAAATATATAAATTACATGTATTTGCAAAAAATACCAATGTCAACAGTTTTGATTCAAGCGGTCTTTGTTTCTTGACTAAGATGTTTTTTAAGCTCAATTTTTTTTTTACCAGGAATATTAGATGAATACAGTTTCGTACTTCTTTTGGTAATCAAAATAAATTAGTATCCGTCTCATATAGGCAACAAACATAGTAAAATATATTCATTACTTTAGAAATCAATCAAAATTGTTAGCAAAAATAGAAACTTTTTGATATTTGATCGGATAATGAGTCAATGTGTCGGCCTAGCTGATGAAGGTACTTGAATATTGACAATTTATCGGTTTGAGTCACCGCTATGCAGGATCAGGTGTGCAAAGTGCTGCAGGAATCAGACATTGCAACGGTACCGTGACTAATCTGCAGCGTCAAGCAATTAACGGAGCATAAATTCAACAGGCAAGATAAAAAAAATTCAAAAACATTATTCTGTAATCGAGTGGCTTGAAAAGCGATAATCCTTTCCTTTTTACTTTTCTCCCTGATAAATCATTATCTTTTCACTCTTCTTGATTAAAGGGCATAAATGGAATTAATAGGGGAAAATTGGTCCCTTTTTATTGTTTGTTCTTTATTTTGGTTATATATATAATACATGTATCTTTATGAGTGTCTTTCCTTTGTTAGTTTGATTTCATTATTACATTATATTATGACCAAAACAGAAAGGATCCAGGATTCGTTAAAGGGGCAACAGACGGGGTCTGGGCTAGGCGGCCTAAAGGCCCCTATAGGGTTCAGGGCAAGGCACTGGAGGGGTTCATGGGGCTAAGCCCCCGGAAACTCCCAGGTTTTAGGTCTTTCTAGATCAGTTTTGGAAGATATTTAGATCTTCATTATTGATTAAAATAATAATATCTAACAATAAAAACTGATTTATTCATCATCATAAATTTTGGGTCATCAATAGAGGGACCCCCCTCCCTCCTATTTCGAGATGCGAAGCATTGTTGCTAGAGCAATCATTGGCTAAGAAAGATAATTCTAACAAATTGTTTTCCAAAGTATTAATGAAAAGGATAGGATGATTTCCCCTTTACTGCATTATAACCTGTACATGATGTATATGTAAGAGTCTTGTCTCCATTATAAGACTGTGGTTTCTTTAAGACGTTCGTTTGTTTCACAATTACACACACACACACACACACCCACACACACACACACACACACACACACACATATGAGTGGTCTTTCAACAGTTTCCTCTTTAGGTATATTGAGGACCCTAGCAGTACTCACTGTCTAGCTCGTAACAAGAAGCATATTTCATACATGTATCTTAACTTTTTGTTTGGGGCCAGTAACATACTACTATACTTTATTTTATGTTTTTATAGTGATCACGTAAAATCAAGAACATACTAGTATGTTACTGTGGTTTGACTCACGAGATCTGGCTAGAAAAGAATTTATCTTAAAATTGTTTCACCTCGGTCAAAAGTTATGTCACTTGGTGTCACCATGTCCGGCTTTGGGCAAACTTTGAAATTCTTATGACCCTTAATGATAAAGGTCCCATAGAAGACTCGTCATATAATTGACCTGTTTTCTTATCACTATAGAAACTTAAATACAATGATGTGGTAAGTATTTTATTAATCACATTACATTGTATTTTCCTTTATTTGACTAGAAATAGGACAAGAAACGGTGGTAAGGTTAGGACACGCAATTATTTCTTTTTCTTGTAATGGAAATATTCTTTCGTTCGCACGACATGAAAATTAAAATCGTCTCTTAATTCGCTAAACTCTAAGAAACACACATGTCATTAACAAATTCATGCATGGATTGACATATATATTTTTGGACTGATTTTGGATGGAATTGACATAAATTATAGATTCCTAAAATAAAAAGAAATTGTAGGATTTCTTTGGTGTTCAATAACGCGACTCTGTGCCATCTTCTATATAAATCTGTACAAATTTTTGCACACATTTTCTGACGTTATTACAAAATCTTACAAATGTCTTCTTTTACTTTGGCAAACGTTAAAGTTATCTATATAAACTTATAAACATAAATCAAAGAGATATTTTGCTAATTTCTGAAAATTTATGTTATTTTAATATTATATTTAATTGAAGATAATTATGCTTCGCACAAAAATATCATTTCGTTCAAAGGTATAACGTTATTTGTACATGACTTACTGTCTTATTTGCCAGGCACGTAGCAACGGGGGGGGGGGGGGGGGGGCTCCCCCCCCCCCCCACTTTTTTCCAAAGACCTATTTTACTATTTGAAATGTTAATTGAAACGCCGGTTGCCCCCCCCCCCCGCTTTTTGTTGTGGAATAGTCATGTAAGAGTTTTGTAGTAGTGTATGAATAAAATTTGGTACTGAAAGAAGTTGGAACCTACCCCCCCCCCTCTGCCCCCCCCCCCCCACTTTCAAAAACGATGCTACGTCCCCTGTTTGCTCATTCGCATGAGATAATTTCCCTTCGAATGACTATGGTACATTGTAATAGTTTCATTTTGAACGAAATATCTCGTTCGCACGATCCTCTAAATAATGTACGTCGTTCTCATAACTTATCTTATTCCCTCGAAGTATTATTTAAGTTAGCACATGATAAATTATATCGTTTATACGACATAAATTTCTTTATGTCTTCTAATGCTTATAGGCAAGCTCACCGCAGCTAGTTTTTGCTAATTTTGTACAAGTCAAATAAAACACTTTCATTATTGAAATGACGGTATATATATAAACTTGAACAATTTAACACACAAGAAGGGAGGGGGGGGGTTCAGATTCATAAGCTCTGATTGTCAGTTATGTAAAATATGATAATGTCTGATCCCCAAAAAATGGCTAGAAAAAAGTACCTGTAAAACAAAACAATCAAAACATCATAAGACAAAGTACTCAAAAAGATGGCACATAAAAACAAAATAGGCCACAAGATGTGGCATGCAAGTCACAGCCATGTAAGATGTGACATGCAGATTTTGAACGAAATGTCTCGTTCGCACGATCCTCTAAATAATGTACGTCGTTCTCATAACTTATCTTATTCCCTCTCGAATTATCATCTAAGTTAGCACATGATAAATTATATCGTTATTACAAATTTCTTTTCTTCTTCTCCCTCTTTGAATTCAATTACAGTTTTGTTTGAAATGGTAAATATTTTTTTCTTTTATGTTGTAATTTGTTTCTTGTTTACGATGAAAGCCACCGATATTTATTGAAAAAGCAACAGGATGGTTTTCAAATTTGACTTTTGGGAAGACAAAATATTCTATTTTACATTTGCCGTTGTAAATTGTATTTTTTTTTTACATTAAAGACCGTATTTAAAATGAATATTTATTCTTATTATTTAGACTGAAAAAAGTGAAGGTAACGAAATATAATTGTAAACAAATACGAAGCTTGAGCAAGTCAAAAACAGCATGAAAACACTGGAAGTGGGATTAGGTGCCTTGTAGTAGGAGTAAGCATCCCCTGTCGATCGGAATGAACCCTCTCTATTGATCAGGTTAACGAATAATCCGTAGTTAAATTGGTATTAAAAGAAGGGCCTAATAATTGTCACTAATTATCACTGATAATTGAGAAACATGTCAGTCAAAGTACTTCCCGACTGTATTTGCATACAGTGTCAATGACCATAGAATTTGCTAAATTCAGACTTTAAATGAGATCGAAAGCCCTGTAACATCAACTTATTTGTCAGAAGCCTGCCCAATCGCATCTTCTCGGGCCTTTCCACCAAGCTGGAAAAAAACACCTCGAATGTATTTACATCATCAATGTAATATATATATATATATATATATATATATATATATATATATATATATATATATATATATATATATATATATATATATATATATATATATATATATATATATACAACATGGGGTCACTTTCTGTTTATTAAATTATTTGGTAGACAGAGTTGAATGCCCCTTCTGTAGTATATTTTCAGTAATATATTTACATTCAATGAAGATAAGCTCCAAACTCTACAGATAAGAGGTAGCTCCCAGTATTTACTTCAATTTTTCTGAAAAGGGGAGCTGTCATGGACGCAGAAGCTTAACTCGATTGAAATAATTGATCACGAGTACAATCATGCTCTTGCGTACCTAATGGGTTTGAAGACGTAAACACCATACGCAGTTAGTTGACCAGTAACGTCTATATATAATAGTCGATCACTTAAACATCCAGGTACTTGTACAGTGTATGAACAGATGTAGCAGACTCTGCAGTATCTTAGTTTTGAATTCACTTGGATTTCGAGTCGACCTATGAATAAAATTAACGATTTTTAATTGATAAAACATTGTCGATATACTGTAAACAGTATTTTCGCCCGGGTTGTTTTCGCTCTCTCACACTTTCAAACAATTTTGCCCTGTTTTAAATTCGCCCTGACACGGTTGTATGAAAAATAAAATGCTGTTTACTTTGAATCGCCCGTTTTAAATTTGCAATCTTGCTATGAAGGCAGAAGGGGGGGGGGGGGTAGCGAAAATAAAACGGAAGCAAAAATATCCCTGCATCAAGTATCTAAATTTCAAATTGAAGGCACAGCTAGAGTTTTTTCATTCCTATTTAGAAGTGTTTGAATAAATTCTGCTTCTTTAAAAAGGATATGAAAACTGGTCGGCTAACAAAGTAACCTAATATATAATTAGTGCTTATCGGAATTCCAAAAGATTGTTGGAAGACCTGGTCTACAAAGACTACCTTTGTATATTATCGACTAGGAACTCCGGCATCCTTTTGATATCATTTAGAGTACTTGTGACTAGATTCAGAATGATTTTTTTTTTTTACAAAGTAATTATGTAAATGAACAATCACAAGAAGTTCCATTTTATATTGAAGAAGCAGACTTTGTCTATGCTGTGAAAAAATGTCTGGGCTAGGAATGGTTGTATAAAGGGTGCAGTACAAAAGTCGCATTTGATTGTACGCAACCGATTTCGGAAAAACTTGCTGATTTTAAATTATCTAAAAGTTCTTTGGTGTTTCTGAGAATCCACATTTGGTTTTACACTTCTTCTTGAATATGTTGTAGAACTAGAACACTTTGTTTTTTAAATACATATATGACTTAAAAGAGGTCATAATGTGTACACGACCTCATTAAATATAAGTAACACGTTTCTTTCAGTTGGCTGCATGCGGTTACTTTTGGGACATTATTTCATTTTGGGTTCGGATTTGACCTGAATGATCCTAAAACCAATCTCGAGTCAGTTCTCCGTATTTCAGCAACACTGGCCCCACATGTTGACGTTCTTAACTATATAAACGGCACTGTTTATGGCAGACGACCCGGGGAAACTGTGACCAAGTTGTTCTCCTTTGAGGGGTACAATATTGGCCAGAAATATCCAACAGGTAACGGGGACTACATGTCCCTGTCGAGGGAGTTCGTTGTCTATCGTGACATTCACACGGGACATATATTGCAGGTTTTCCAAAATCCCTACTCTGGTATTCCGAATGAAGTCTTCTACGTGGCCAACGACCCTGTTAATGGCGAATTTCAGCTTGGAGATATTACGCCATTCATTCTTTTGAAGAAAAATGTTGTGGCATTTAACCTGGATTTTGTGTTAGAGTATCCCAATGCTTTAGACCCTGGGAACTACCCAAAATATTCAGCTGGTAAATTTTATAACTCGGCTGAACTGTTCTCTTACTTTGCAAATTACTCAGCTCTTGCAACAACCAATGCGACGAGCGTTGACGATGTGAATACTTGGTCGAGGCATTCTCAGTTTCTACCTTGGCTAGAAATGGGAACAATACCAGGATCTTTGTTTTATACAACCTTGACATGGAAATGTGAATCATTTTCATGTGTGTCACGTGACGTTATGGAATTAATCAATTCTACATTTCCAAAATACAGGCAAGCACCTAAAACATTTGAGGAGCCAAATGAAACCTCATGGACACAGTTCAAAAAAGTCGTCGACAAGCGACGTGCAGAGGGGAAACCTGACATTCTGATTCCCACTATAAATGTCACTCGTCCAGAGGGACCGATTACACCAACTGTAGACGGGAGGATTCTGCAACTTTTAATGAATAAAACAGTCACTCTGAACTACAACGGAAGTTCGTTTACTCAAATCTACAGCCAACAAAGTGTGAAATTTTTCAACGTAGAAGGACAAATATCCTTTCAATTGAAAAAGTCACAGAAAGGAGATTTTTTGATTTCTCTAAAAGACAGAAGGATATACAAAAACGTCACCAATGGCAAGGTCATGACGTCATTCAGTAATCCTTTGACAAACACCACTGTTGATATACCTAGCAATGTGCAACATATGAATTTGACCATTCTTGCAGATGATGCAACCACAATGGAAATTCCAAAACCAAAAGCCATCGGTCTATTGATGACCCATTCTAAGAGCATTACATTTGGACCTTCAACAGTAAATGAAAGATGGTCAGTGACAAATATACAAGCAATATTCCAAGAGTCGTTGCTGCAGGACAGGGAACCGTATTTCTATGGAACAATTTCCCAGTTTTCTAGTTGGCCTGTTTGGATGAAAATGAATTATAGCTTTTCAGGAAATCTTGTTACAAAGGTTACTTTCGGACGATTGATTCATGACCATCATCAGTGAAATCACCTATTAATTTTATGTACATTATTTGAAATGGTAAATGCCAAAATTTATACATGTACCTGTAATATCATGCATTTTTCATAAATGTTTTAAAATAATATAATAAAAGTTTGTTTGTCCACACTAAAAAAGTTTGGAGGGATTCATTGTTTTTTTTTTTTTTCAAGCAACAGTTGGCCAGCTTTTTATCACTTCAGAAAATCTGAACCTATGGAGAAAAAGGGACTTTTACAGAACTACTCATCCCCTGTAAAAGAAAAACAAAACCTATTTTACTTTCATTTCTGGCTTACTGGTAATTTAACTACAGTATTCTCCTCCTTTTTAGCTCACCTAAGCTTAAAGCTCAAGTGAGTTTATTCTAATCACTAGTCTGTCTGTCCGTCCCTCCGTTCGTCTGTTAATTTTTCACACTTTTCTACTTTTTCTTGAGAACCACATGGACCAAATTTAACCAAAACTGGCATAAAGGATCCTTGGGTAAAGGGAATTTTAAATACAAATGTAATATCATAAGCCCCCTTCCAAGGGGAGTTGATCAAGAAAAGGAAAAAAATAGGGTTGGTCATAAAAAAATCTTCTCAAGAATCACTGGGCCAGAAAAAGTGAAAGCTTCCTGAGATATCGTGAAAAATATACATTGTTTAAATCATGGCCCACGGGGATAAGGTGGGGCCACAATAGGGAATCAAAGTTGTACACTGGTATACATCGGTTATATATAAGAAAAAAAATCATGTCTATGATAAAATCTTCTCAAGAACCACTGGACTAAAAGAGATGAAACCTTTTGCCAGCCTCCAGACATAGTGTAGATTCTGATTGTTCAAATCGTGAGTTTTGGGTGTAGGGTGAAGCCAAAATAGGGGATCAATTAGTTTTACGCTTGACTACTAGTATATTAGAAAAATTATTTAAAAATCCTCTCAAGAATCACAATAGAACCATTAATTTGCAAACATTTCCAATTTGTGGGGATTTTTTTAGTATACTAAGCCTATCTTACTATATGTTACTTACAACTTTATATAATATTACTTACTATTCTTCACAAATGAGCGATTAAAAGAGTTTAATGTACCTTCCATAAAAAATTTATATCATAAATTTCTGGAAGAGTCGGAGGATAAAAATGAATATAATTAAATACATGTACATGACGAAATGTATTTTGAATTAAAGCTACCCCTTTTGAACAGATTTTCGGTTCATTAATTCGTTATGAAATACACACCTGTTTTTCTTTTTGATAAACAATATAGAAACAATAGAAACTAACCAAATGATAATTACAATTGTCAGAAGTGCAATGCTTGATTAAAATTCAAACGAGTCCGTTTTAAAGTCCACAATTACTTTTGTTTTTTTATGAATTCTTTCCAATGGAATGAACCAGAAGGGAGTGCATGTCAAACTAGAAACCAGATGTTGGTGTAAATATTTATGAATAAATATTTTCTTGGTGACTTAGGGTGACCCTCTGAAGTAGAATCACTTGCCGTTTAATTTAAGAAAAAACATGTACATTTTGTGAGTGACAACTTTTACCCGAAATGCTTCGTGCGGAGGATGTAAAAGAGGAATTTCTCTTATGCCCTATCTGCACTAAAGAATTTGATGAGGAAATACACACACCACGGGTTCTGCCATGCCTTCATACATTCTGTCAGGCTTGTATGAGGAAAATTCTCAAACAAAATCTCTTAGTGTGCCCTTTCTGCAAGGTGGAATATGCTTTACCGAGCGACGGTATTTACGTCTTTCCAAAAGATTCTACAAGACGTAATTTGATAGAATTTCTCAGAGTTCGAAAAAGGTCTTCTGACATATTGTGTAAGGATTGTCCAGACGACAATGTCGCAGAAGATTTTTGTAGAGAATGTTGTATCTTTATGTGTACGGAATGCACGCGTGCACACAAAAGGAGTCTCGCATCACGTGGTCACATTACCATGAATATTCAGCAACTTCAATCAAGTGGACCGGAAGTCTTCCAGAGGAAACAGAAATGTACGAAACCAGGTCACGAGGGCCATCCTCTCATGTTTTACTGTACCCGGAAAGGGTGTGACCAGTTAGTATGCACAGCCTGCACAGTGTGTGATCATGATAAAGCCAAAGGTCACAACATTGTAAATGTGAAGGATATTCATCGCCAGAAAACTGCGGAGCTGAAAAAGATCTTCAAGATGTTGGAAGACGAGGTGAATACTGCGAAACTAATCAGTCAACAAACTGATCAGGAACTGCTAAACATAGACATTAAAGAATATGAAATCGAAAAGGAAATCGAAGATGTCTTTGAGATGTGTCAAAAGGCGCTTGATTTGCGCAAACAAGAATTAAAGTCTAAGCTGGCTGCTCTTTGCGAAAACAAAAAGTCTGCCATGCAACATAGAGCAAGAACTTTGGAAACATTTGTTGATGATGTCACAAGTGCGAAGGAATTTGGTGATAGCATCGTTCATCACACGGATCCAACCGAGTTCATTCCTCTTCATTTAACCCTGTATCGCCGTCTCAAAATGTTAACAAGTCAGAAAATTAAGAAAACGTTCCAAGTTGAATCACCTGTCTTTGATCCTGCAAGAATGGATGATGAATATCAAAGACTTGTAAGGAGTATGGGACAGTTGAGCACAACGGTTCACACGAGGAAACTTAATTTTCGGCGTGGTCGGACAGATATGGGCACCTCAGGAGCGCCAACACCATCTGGTAAGATATTGCAATTTTAATTCATGCAGGTTCGGACACAGGGGCTTGCTCCCGGCGTGTCATAATTATTTATTTTAAAAAATCATATACGTTAATACTAAAACTACACTAGTATTAACGTATATGATTTTTTTAAATAAATAATTATTACACGCCGGGAGCAAGCCCCTGTGGTTCGGACTCTTATTAAATGTTAAATTTCAGAGATATGTGGATTTACTGAGTTTTCTTTTTCTTTCTTCTTTTTATAGTTGAAGGTGATGTTCGAATTGGAGATATTTTCTGTAAGTATACCAAAAGAATTTCTAATCTAATGGAATATTTTTCTTAAAAAATGACAATCTCGATTTTTGGACATGTAATTTGAAATAAAATGCATGTATTGCTTTCAGGTCCTGCATTTCTTTTTGACTCAGACACTGTTCATCAATACAGAGAATTAAGCGATGATTTCAGATCCCTCAAAAACCAAACGATGGGACACACCGTCCAGCTCCCCTACAGTGAGCGAAGGCTGAAGAAGTACCGTGGTGCCATTGGCAGTAGACCTTTTCCACAGCCCGGAAAACACTATTTCGAGGTAAATGTCGGCTTCCAGATACATAAACAGTTAGACAATGTCAACTTCCTATTTGAAATTGGTCTCATTAATCGCCGTAGCGACATTGACCAAGGACACTATGTGTACGACCACAGCAATGCGTGGTCGTTCTGTGCACAGCACTGTGAAGAGCACATGCAGCTCTGTCAGTGGTGTCGACATGGAGGCCGTAACCACGCGCACACTCCCCTTTCGTCAATAGATGCTGGAACGGTGGTGGACGTTACGTATGGATTTCTGGTAGACACTGATCAACGGAAGTTGACAATTGTGGACTGTACCAATCAGAAGAAACTTCATACATTCAGTAACCTGGATGTTGCGCGTCCTCTGTGGCCCGTGTTCGGTTGTCATTGGCCTAGCAAGATCAAAATAGAGATGATTCTCAGAACCGGAAGTGATATTATTAACATTCCCGCTCTTCTGGTTACTCAGCAATAAGACAGTGCCACGAAATGGATAACTTGTAAGAGATAAAAACTAATATCCTGAAAAAGTTAAGAGTGCATAAAACATCAAATGATTTTAGTATCGAAAATTTATCGAAATACGACTCCGCGTGCACTCACAAGGACTTTTTTTTTTTTTTTTGCAAAGTGAGGGGAAACCAGAAAAATAAGTAACATCATACTTGCAAAATTGACGAACAGAAAGAAGGAAAATTGAAACTCGAAACTGTCCAAACTCAGGAGCATATTTCGTAAAATTGGGAGGGGGGATTTTCCAACTCCAGATTTCATTTTGCAAAAAGAAGACTTTTTGATTGTATTAGATTAGCATGTGAGGAGGATTTGACCATACTGCAACAATAGTTGGGGGGGCTGTCGGTGAAAATTTTCATACTAAATTTTACAGCAAAACATAATTCTTCGAAAAGAAGTCCTCTTCCCTCCCCCAACCCCGATATCTGGGGCCTGAAGCATGGGTACTTGGAATTTCCAATCCAATTTTCCTCAGCATATTCTAAATCCCTTGGTTACAGTATGGTAAACATTGGTTAGATTTGACAAATATGCATGTTGAAGAATTTGAATGATTGAAAAGTCGAAACTTGTAAATATCTAACTTTTCATGTATATCTATACAAATTTAATGTACAAATGTATGTTAATAAACTTGTATGTAAATGTACATTTGCATAATTTAATTAAGCTTGTTTTAAGGCCAACAAATATACAGTGTACGTGTATTACTTTTCATGTATGTTAATACGAGTGTTGTCCCAAATTTCGTGGACAAGCATATGATTTTGTAGGAACCTCGTTTCATATATTAATAAAACTTTATAAATAGATTAAACCAAAAATAACGGGGGGTGGGGGGGGGGACCATAATGACAAATTTTGAGCTTTTACACGGATGAACCCTATTTAAATTAAATATTTTAATACTTGGTGGAAATTTTTCAGGCGGCGCAATACCATAAAATTGCGGTATATAATACTTAAAATTTTACAACAATTTAGAATTTCTGGGGGTAGAAAAGAAGGTCCTGTAATAAAATTCCATAAATGGTACTCTTGTAACAATTCAATAACAAGGTTTCAAGTGTGAAAAAAATTGTCTCTGTTATCTGGTTCACGTCTATAAAAGAGAAAGGAAAACAACTTAATTTGATATTCGGGCACTGTGTCAGAATATACTAGTACTGTCTTTTTCATAAGAATAAAATCTCTTTATTATTGTAAGGTTTAACAATTGATGAGCAGTTTCAAAAATGCACCGCATTAGCATTTCAATTTGAAGAGAATCATTAAAGATGTTCGGCTTTAATTTTTCTTTTCTCTAACGATCCCCTTGCATAGCTACAGATCTGTAGCTCGCTAGTATATGATTTATTTTTTCAGACCATGTCGTTGGAAGACTGTTCTGCAATCTCAGATGTTTATATAATAGCCTGATAGTCAACCTAATCTGAGCCATGATAAAAAAATTAAAATGTTGCCTTTTTTACTTCTTTATTCAAGAAAATATATAATATTTGGATTTTCATTCAATCATTATGTCACAGACATAGAGTAGCTTCATCAGGAAATGATAATTTATACACTGTAAATTCTATACAACTGATACACATACCTTGGGTTTAGTGGCAAATAACAAATAATTGTATTTTGTCAAATATCACCATTTCTTCACTCTTGCTGTTATGTGTACTAAGATATTTTTTGTACAAAAAATATCACAGCTATATCAACAATACATATTTAATATCTCGTGTTTTCCAAATTTTCTTTGTATTTCCTGTCTATACAAAATGTCAGCAAGCAATCAGTTAAAAATGAGACATATTATGATAAAAAAAACTGCTTCAACATTTTTCTAAGCAATTCCGTTCTATGTAGTATTGTAGTAATATTGTGTACTGTGTTTATATCCTGGATCTTGAATCCTCTTCTATAACCGGTAGTGCAGTCTAGGGTACAATATCCTCAATACCAATAACAATAGTGCTGGCTTCTAGCTTATGAAAACAAATATAATTACATATATAAAATAATGTAAGCTATTACTACTAATAACAATATTTGTTACATTTATGTCTACTAGAAGAGTGAAGCATAAAAATATATCTTAATATTTTATCCATCAATAAGAGATGTTCAATTGATGAAATAATTCTAAAAAAAAAATGTCCAATATCAGTTTTAAACTAAAACACAAAAATAATCCCCATGTGTGATTTGAGAAAGGAAGGGGGGGGGGGGGGGAGTAACACACAGATACAAAAGTAGTATTGTAAATGATAACAGTTGATACAATCAAAAAAATCATTCTATTATTGCTTGAATTCTTCCTGACTAGGTATAAATTCCAATGGATATATTGCACGCATTTAATAGTGTCTCACACTTGAATGTAATGCCTCTCGTCACTGGGTTCACCGTTATTAAAAATATGAATACTTGATGAACTCTTCAAAATATTTTGGAATTGAATAAAATCATTCTTGCCAGGAAAGTATCTTATTCATTTATATACATAAGGAGATGAATTTTGATAGATTTTAGAAGTAAACATAATTTTATTAATAATATTAATTAAAAATGATTAGTCATGGTAAAAAAAGGGGTTCAAGGTTTTGATCATAAAATCAAATTATTCAATTTGTTCTATGATTTTCATATCTATTAAAACATGATTAAAAGATGGGTATGCCACATAAAACAATATACTGTGGTAAAATACAATTTGTAGAATGAAAAAAAAAACTTAACACAAGCAAATAATTAACATATTAATATTGTAGTATAAATTGAAGTAAACATTCACATAAACAAAGTAGCTATATAAGTAATTGTAACTTCAAGCTTTATTACATAGAAACGGATATGTAATGGCATAGAATACATAGTTCTATATATGTTATGTCCTTTCATTCATTTATCTGTCACAAGTTACCTCCCTTTATGCACAATACAAATATACCAAGGCACAGTCTCACATGCAAAAGTTTGCTTTTAATTAAGTCTCTACAAGAGAAAAATCAATTTTAGAAATAATCTAATAAAAGAAATTCAAGAACTCTAGCATATTTGTTGAAATAAAGATACATGTGCTTGGTTAACTATCATAATTGTATAATGGAATGGCTGTACCAAAAGCAAGATTAGAAAGCGAAGACATTTTTTCCATACTGGTTAGGTAAGCAGAAAATGGAACGTCAAAAAATCTTAGACTAATCCTTCATCTCTTGAGCATGAGCAAAGAGACATATTTAGATCACATTTGTGCTACATTAACTTCTTAAGGACTGATACAGATGCTTCTTTCATTCTGCAATGTCTTCAATCTTCAATATCTGTCATCTGTAATCTCTTTCTAAAAGCTATGGAAATCCTTCAATCAAGCAGACAGTGTTTTCATCTCTTCCTGTTCTGGGACTGATATTTCTACTAAATCTTGTGGTGGTCTGTGGCCAAGACATTTCTGTACGAATGGAATGCTATACAGCATGGCGCCACTTATGGCCACCACCGTACCTGCCACATAGAATGACACGTCATAGCTTCCTGTGCCATCATACAGCCAGCCTGAAATAAAATAAAAATGAAACATGAAAACCCAATTAGTTATTGCTATATATTAATTTGAGGACATTCAAATTGAGCATACATGTATATTTCAAATATCTTCAAAAAATGACATAATCATATAACTTAACATAAATGGGAATTATGAGTATTTTGTTTCAGTCCATGCATACATAACACTGAGTCTGAATTAGTGCATCACAGCATTCTGATACAGAAATTATACTCAAATACACGTAAGCTCAACTATAAACAAAGTAACTACATCAAATTTTACAACTAAATTTCATACCAGCAATTGGAGGTCCAATGAATGTAGCTAAACCTTGAAACATCAACAGAAGTCCAAAAGCATTGGTCAGTTTAGCGAGTCCTAAAAGGTCAACCAGGACAACAGAGGTCAAACCAACATACACACCTGTAACAGGTAAAAAAAACGCCGATTTCAAATATTGTACAAAACGCAGAAAAAAAAGTAGTCAGTAGCAACGTGGCCATGGACAATTTCCAACACTGAGCATGTAAGCTCTTTGACTACACCCTATTACATCTTTTTGATGTTATCAGTTAATGCATCAAATATTATGCAGACTATGTGGGCATGTACATGAATTTCATGATTAACAAGGAAACGCTGAGACCTTTTGCCCTGTATAAAGAGTACATGCTAACAATTATATAGATGAGTTCAAGATAAGTGTTTTCGTACTTGGGACGACATGTAATATAGCAACATTTATGTAGCATCATGTGGCAAATTTACTTGGTACTTAAAAACAATCTGACTTTTACTCATCGTCATGTGCATATGAGATTATGAAAAATTTCACCAACATGTCCATGTATCATTACTTTAAGGGAAAAAAAATGAGAGCAATTTAACACTTGAATCCAAATTTTATTCTCGGTGATACTTGAGTGTATTAAATCATGTTTATAAATCCATCATGTGATTGCCAGTAGATGTAAAGATGTCTTCTTCTGACATACAGAGCATATTTATAGACATCTGCGTTTTCAAAAAATTTAGAATTAAGAGTAAGAGTGGGAAAGTTCTCAAAACTGATAAAATTTATGAGCCCTAATTTGGGCAACAGAAAGAGGTTTATAACACCCTAAAATATTAAATTATTGGGGTTTTCCATGTCATTCCCTCCCTATAATATATCAGGTAAAAAAAAACCCACCTGTTTCATTAAATGTTTGATCACACAATAAATTTACATGGACAGTGTGAAACTTAATGTTTTAAAAGAAATTTGTCGGGGTCCTCTCAACTGGTCAGTGACATTTTAAGCCTATACAAACCTAGCCATAACAAACATGAACCACGCAAAGGAAAGGTCAATGTTTTAACTTCTTGGCTAAGTACACATGATATACAGTCAAAACTCATTTATTGCAAAATTGGCAATATTGAAAAACTGGCTCATAATGATTTCCTACTCGTTCATTAAGAAAAATGAAACAATATAAACAAAGCCTAAGGCACCATATATCATGAGCTTTTTTAATTATCCTTAGAGGTTGGCCAGAGCAGTGTTATCTTTAACGTTTAAAAGTAAGTATAATCAATAGTATATGTAAAATTATTCTCACATTCTTCCTCCAGTCCTTAGGACCTTCTTTCACTTATGTTACTTGAAGCCTTTGTTTTTATACTAAATTTCCATCTACCTGATCAATGTATAGGGCTCACAGTAGGTGTGACCCGTCAACAGGGGATGCTTACTCTACCTTGGCACCTGATCCCACCTCTGAAATTTCCAGGGGTCTGTGTTTTATGCCCCATTTGCAAATTTGTATTGTTGAACAGATTTTTGAGACTGATCACTGTTTGTTATCTTCAACTTTTTTTTTGTTTGAATAATGTTTTATAAAATCGAAACAATTACCTATAAATGCACCAAAGATTGCAGCATAGCACACCAGGAAAGGATAACTGTCACTGAGAGGAGAGAGGGCAGTAGCCACCCCACAGATGAACAAGGCAGTGTTATAGAGCATCAATCGATTCACCCAGGGTTTGTCAGCCATCCATCCGAACACCACTCGACCAATGGTGTTTGCGATTCCTATCACAGACACAAGGAACGTGGCATCGGTTTCACTGATCCCCTTTTCGACTGCTCGATCAGGGAGGTAGATATAAGGCATGTTGAAACCAATACTTGTGCAAATGTTGGAGATGGTAAAGAGTAAGAAAATGACATCTTTTAACAGTGAAAAATCTAGCATCTGTCTGATGGCATCCCTCATTTCTGGGGAGAGACCAAGGCAGCGGAACAGACACCAGTCGTGATCATCGGGGATCACGTCAGGGAGGGAGGTTATACTTGTGACATATAGATCGGGATTGGAACGATACTGGGGAATATTGACCAGGCTTCCACTATAGAAGATGTCCTTCCTATACATGGGACCAGAGTGCTGTTGAGTGATGGACTGTTTGGATGTGGAGGCTGCTAATGAATTTGACGTGATTCTATTGATGGCCCCTTCACTTCTGAAGAGTTTAGTACTGTCATTCTCTACATTAAGACTATGCATGTTTTTACTTGGAATGGCCAATGTGTCTTTTGTTCCTGTTTTTTGAACATCTGGAAGATCATCCTCCTGGTTCACATGTTGAACACCATTAGATTCTGTTGTTTTCTTCATGAGTTTTTCCTTCTCCCCTTGTTTGGCCTTTTCTGCATCATAGTTTTTATCTGCATTATTATGTCTTACAACCAAAGGTCTAAACAAGGCCCCACACAGGATACAGTTGAGGATAATTCCAGCTTCTATTAAAACTGCCCCCTTCCACGTGTACTCATCCACCAGAAGCTTGGAAACAGGAGCAAATATAAACGTCCCGAGGCCTGATCCACAGACCGCAATGCCTGTGGCAAAGGATCGCTTCTTCTCAAAATAATGGCTGACACTCACAATTGCAGGAAGGTACATTAATCCAAACCCCAGACCTTTAAAAAAAAATTTCAAAATTTCATAATTATCATAATATTAGGAGGTATATTCAGTGTGAAAGGCTATTTTTGCACATAATAAACATTTATTTTATTTTTAGCTCCAAATCAATGCTTTTCTTCCTGTCCAATATTAGTCTACTGATGCATGGTCCTTACTGACACAGAAAGCAAATCGATCAATTAGAAAATCACATTTGTTTTGATCAATACATTATTAACTGAATGAGCTGGGAGATGAGAGAAAATGGACTGTTAATGTTGCCAAATTATATGTATTTTCTTCTCCATTAAAGAATATATAAGATTATTGAAGCTTTGCAAAGCATGGGTCAGTTTGGTGTACTTTCATTATTTAGAGAGAAAAAAAAGGGGGGGGGGGAGAGAGGGAAAAATTAAGATTAACTACATGTCATCCAAAATTTTCAAACGCAAGGTCTTCAATACTGCAAACCAACTTTTATCCATGTGCAAAATATATCAAATAGAGTTTTGTAATCTCTTTTTCAACTTATGGAGTTCTTTCATTGCAATTTAATATCTGATTGCATCTTTACTATGTGGATATGTTTCCTCAGTTGTGAAAAATAAAGTCGAGCAGGATTTCAAAAGTGAGAAATCGCAAATAAAACTAATTGCAGATAATATTTGGTTACAATATATGTTACAAATCTATCAATCTTTACAAATATTACAATACCTGATCAGGTAACAATGCTCACCTGAGAGAACACCAAAGCTGAAGAAGAGATAGTAGATGTTGGGAGCGAAGAGACTGAGGATAAAACCAGCTGCAGCCACAATAGCTCCTACAATGGTCACTGCTCGGCAACCATATCTGTTGGTCAAGGCACTGGCTACTGGCCCTATAAAACATAGGTAATCAAAGATTACTAAGCTCACCTCGACGAATGTTATCTATAAGTAAGGCAAATCTCACATCATATTTTTTTCCTAGTTAGTGCACATCCCAAGATTAATATCCATCAATATTAGATTCAGAATCCAAAGCAAGTCTGCAAGTGTCCATCTCTAGATACATCATCATCCATGCTAATTTGGTTAAAATATGGCTAAAATTCACTCATCTGGAAAATCTAGGTCAGATCCAGAATCCAAAGCAGGTTAGTTAGTGTACATCCCTAGATGGATCATCCATGCAAGTTTGGTCCAAGTAGGGCTTACAGTTGCTTGGGAATGGACCTGCTCCAAAAAAACTTTAACCTGGTCACTCATCTAGAAAATCTAGGTCAGTCCAGCATCTGAAGCAAATATGGTAGTGTCTATCCCTAGATGTATCATCCATGCAAGTTTGGTCCAGGTAGGGCTTATAGTTTCTTGGGAATGGACCTGCTCCAAAAACTTCAACCTGGTCACTAATCTGGAAAATCTAGGTCAGATCCAGCATCTGAAACAAGTATAGTAGTGTCCATCCCTAGATGCATCATCCATGCAAGTTTGGTCCAGGTAGGGCTTATATTTACTTGGGAATGGACCTGCTCCAAAAACTTTAACTTGGTCACTCATCTGGAAAATCTAGGTCAGTCCAGCATCTGAAGCAAGTGTGGTAGTGTCCATCCCTAGACGCATCATCCATGCAAGTTTGGTCCAGGTAGGGCTTATAATTCCTTGGGAATGGACCTGCTCCAAAAACTTCAACCTGGTCACTAATCTGGAAAATCTAGGTCAGATCCAGCATCCGAAGCAAGTGTGGTAGTGTCCATCCCTAGATGCATCATCCATGCAAGTTTGGTCCAGGTAGGGCTTATAGTTACTTGGGAATGGGACTTGCTCCTAAAACTTTAACCGGGACGCCGACGCTAACACAGACGCCAACGCCGGGGGTATAGCATACGCTCATCTCGACTCCGTCGAGGTGAGCTAAAAATGTTTTGAAACTTGATAAAATAATGTTCTACATTTAATATCCAAGAATGCATTTTCATTAACTGCTGTTACAGTATCTTGCTGTGTACTGTAGTACATACAAACCATTACTTTGATTGCAACAGAAAAGAAGTCAGACTGATTTTTGCAAATGCTCAATATAGGTACCATTGCAATAAACACAGAGAAAATGATCATGATTTTTTTCTTTTATCGGGTCTCTTGTTCATTTTATTCTGACCTGTTTGGGTGTATAGCTCTACCATGCCATTGTAGGAAATGTATAAACATGTAATCATTGGTTGATCTGGTAAAGGCTTTAATTTTAATGTATTTTGAAAAGCTCATCTAATGGACCAATTTTCCCCACTTCTTTAAAGGGTAATTTTGCAGAAATATTGTTTTTTTTCTTTTTTTAAAAACACTAGCATTTTCATATTTAAACCATTTTTACAACCTAAATATAAGATATGAGCACTAAGCTACATCATAAAGCACCCTACATCTGCAAACTAGACTTGTATGATGTATGATTAATTAACAGCGGAGTGCTGGTAACAGAAAGATTATCCAAGATCTTGATGTATATTTCTACATCTAACAATGTTTTTTTTTCTCTTAATTTATTAATTAGTGCATTCTTCCAGAGGTCTGGTTAATTATCTTGAATGATTGGCACAAAATTGACAAAAAAATTATCTGAAAGATAGAAATAGTGAATTTGTTGCATTTTGAGACTTCAATTTACCCTTAAATACCATTATATTATAATTATCTTCTAATAAACAATGCCATGATTATAATTTGAACTGATTTAAAGTTCTCATTATCAAATTCTTTTCTTCTGAACAATTGAATGCATCATATGGAAAATATTTTGAAAATTTTAAGCAGTATTTTAAGAGAAAACTCCAATTACTGTAATTTCTTCATGGTCATAGAAACCAGCTTTTTGTATTGCTAGAAGCTATTTTCGGCAAAGTTAATAAAGAAAGCTATTACGTTGCTAGATTTTATTAGCTGTGATTTTGGAAGTCAAAGAGAGTTCATTCCCGGCATTTTCTACTTGACTGCGGCTTTACAGTGTAAAAATGACAGCCAATTACTTCAAATATTACAAACCTACCAAAGTGTTATAATATATATAGTTCTAATCCAATACCACTGAAATTATATACCTAATCACTCTGGTAATTTGTTAGAGATATATATCTTGAATGGAACTTCTCCAAAGATATTATCTTTCCTAATATAATTGTCACCATTTAGAACAGTCATTAATGTGTTATGCAGGGCATATTCAAAATCTCTGTCTCTTTTTGTAATATTATAATTTTGCTGTGTATATATATACATTAAGTATCCCACAAAATTTATTCATTTGATTTCTGCATTTAATGCTAACAGGCAAACATCCTTTTTTTTAATTAACAAATTCTAAATCATATCTTTGTCACGGGAAAATGTTAATTTAATAACAAAAAAAAAAAATTCTTGTCTTTTAATTATCTATCACAAATAAGCAGCCTCCAAAATCACAAAAGCAGATACCATAAATATAGAAGAAGCATTGTCATATTATACAGAATTCTTGTTTATAGTACTTACTCACAAGATTATTCGAAAGAAGAATTAATTGACGTATCAATATTTTATGACAGTGGATGTGACAACCAGCTTGTTGAGTGTGAGTGTTGATTTCTATTGTGACATTAAAGAACAATGTTACTGTAACATTTATGGAAAGACTAATGGCAGAATCAATAAATTTGAGCTGTAACATCCTCTGATTAATCTAGGCCATAAAGTACTTAAAAAAAAGCTAGATTGATAAAGAGACCTGCATTATCCATTCATCATACGATACAATCATGAGTGATATTTTAGAGTGCAGTATGATCCTTCTCAAGTGCAATATGCAAGTAGGTGTAACTCAATAAACAAGTGATAAGAGCAAATTCTTATACTGAATCAGAACTATAAGAAATTCAAGGTTAGTTAATTACACAGACAATTAAATGTATACTTCAATAGTCTGTATATTAAATATAAGAAATGAATACAACAATAAATACAAAAGAATGCAATTATCAGTAATTGCATGTTCTTGAAATAACAAATGAACTTCAATCAGGCTATCCTTATATAAAAGCAAGCATCAAGCAAAATTTCTAAGATTTTGGAGTTTCTATAAACGTCTGAAAGAATGAATCTCTTTATAGATATATATCTGTAAGGTACCTGTCCCAGGGTTAAGGGGGGGGGTGCACTATTTTTTGGGGGGTATGGGGGTAAGGGTGGGATTTGGGGAGTTACCAGTTGCTATGATACGTATTTTGATAAAATTAAGGGCTGGGTGTAACAGATGTCATCATGCTTGGTCAAGGGTACCAATCTCAGAGCATTAGTACAATTATCACTTTCAAACTGAATGAAATATTGATCTATTAATACGATTATCAGCAAACTCTGTCACAAGCCTAAGAAATAAAGACATATCTTTAACAGTTTTGACTTACCAACGAGCAATGTGACTCCTGGAACAAGGGACCCAACCCATGCTGTCTCCCCTTTTCCTCCCTTAAAATAATGCAGGAACTCCATGTAGAAGACACCAAAAGAATACACAATTCCGTCTGCCACCACATGGAGGAGAAAGGATCCAAGTACCACAAACCAGCCCCACCCCCCGTCCGGTGGGGTAGGCATACTGTCAGTTCCCACTCCATGTTTTCCCTTTCCTCTCCCTTTTCCCATATCTGCTCTTGATGTTAAAGTTGTGATAAATGAAAATTATGAGATCTCAAAAATATTAAAAAAAAATCAATAAAGTCTGAAAATATCACAATTACTGAACAATTTTGAATACTGCCACTCCAGATTTCACAGTGATGCTATAACTGGGTCCCTGAGTTAGTATTTATTGTATGTTTACTGGAAATGAAACACTTTAACCACCAGCTCTTTGGAAATAATCGCTGGAAGGCTCTAAAAAATTTCCAAAAGTTTGATTGGACAATTGAAAGTGAGTATCTCCGAGGAATAGATGCGACAAGTAACTTTCCATGTAGTCTGCAGGGTGGAATGGATTTTTCTCCAATCAAAATATCAATCCGTATCAAACTGTAACAAATATCCACCGCAGTTGAGAGCTAAGTGTCCATTCTAATGTGCAATTTGCTTCAGTAAGATGCTCTCATAACGGCAAGACGTATCGGTAATTAGTTCTTTATGGAAAGTAGAGGGAGCTGTTCCTGTCAGCTGATGAAGAAGGCGCGGAATGGCTGTGGAGGTACTTGTCACTTACGCTGGTGACCCACATGACCAGGGGGAGGATGGCACTTTCAAGTGGATTATCTCTGAAAAATTAGCAAACAAATGAAAGACCTATGTTTATCAAAATCAAATCATCTTATTTATATTCTATACATGTCAAGTGGTTTTATCTCCCCCAAAATTCAACATGTCACCAACATGATTTGGTCCAAATCAAACGTGACTTGAAATTAACTGTTTTAATTTATAAGCTTAAACAGAAAAAAAATAGGAAAATTTACATCCATGTCTTGAGTCAAGGATATAAAATAGGTTTAAATCTACAAATATCTGTCTTGTTACTTTTTTCTCCACCAAAAAAAATATATATACTTCCTTTTGAAGGACACATTTCCTGCTTTTTTTAAACATGCTTTGATAAACAAGCACACTGTTTTACCCTAGCAATTCTACCAGCTAACAGTGCATTAAATGGCATTATTAAAAGAATCGGTAATCTATTCCCAGCGAGACATTAAAAATGAGACATGCAGAGGAAGGGATTATACCATGGTGTCATTTTTTTTCAAAGAGATTAATGTGTCATTGACTTGCACAACATGGTGAATCAAGTGTAAAAATGTGTATACCAATTTTAGTTTTCTTTGAGCATCAGTATACTTCAAATGGCTTAAATTAACACCTACATTATCCTGACTTGTTTACAAACTACTTAAAAGAAACATCACAGGTTCTTTAAAATTTTGATTTATTTTCTTTTTTCATACATATCAATGACTTTTTATGAAAATTAACCAATTAAAAAAAAATATAACCAATACAAAATAAGATTTCTTGGTAAATTGTGGATAAAAAATAATTATTTAAGGCTATACTTTTGATTTAATAGATATGAAGTCATGCAATGAATTGAATATGATTAAAAAATTCCATATAAATGTCAACATATACCCAATATATACAAATTACCTTTTAAAACCAAATGTTTATCTTAATTATAGATTTTTTTAATCCACAATTTTGAATCCAAAACACATAACTGATATAGAGAGTGAAGTATGTTCTTTATTAACTTCCTTTAAATAATAGCATTTTTTTTTCATATTTTCTTTCAAACACAAGTCAATTTTGAGCTTCAGAAAAATGTTAATCAACATTTATATTGTGGCAAAATTCCATATTGAAATTTCTTTGGAATGTCATATGGCTATATATAAATGTACATGTAATTATTATACATGCATGTGTATGTATATACCACATTGGAAGACATGCAAAGAACTTTCTAGAAAATTTAGAAATCATGCTTCTAAATGCTCCGACAATTCTCAAAACATTGTATATCAGAAAGTATACGGTAAACCTGCAACTATTGTTCAAGACAACTTTTATATGTGATTTGCCAGGCTGAGTTTGAAATTCCTACATGGCTATAAATTTTCACAACTGAAAAAACATTCTACATACTAATTAAAATGTGGTTCATGGCAAGAAATATCTGCAAGTAAAAGCAGTGAGTCACAAAACTAGCAGATATTTCTTGCATGCGAATAAAAGTTGATTTAAAAGTATATGGTCCCATTGCTTCTAGACACCATTATTGTTGTATAAAACATATACTAACTAGATAAACAAATTAGCTGGTATAAACACTGCGATTAGAAATTCTTCATCAATTAAGGTAAAATGCAGCTCAGAGTCTGCAACACTTAATTCCCAACGCCACAGAATTATACTTTCTTTCATGATTTTTTTTCATCCTTATTCCTTTCATCTACAAACTGTATTGGTACTTTTAACTCGGGTCTTTGAAGTTTAATTTCATAGATCTCTGTTCCTCAGACAATTAACACTGTGTGCTGAATATGCATCTACATACTCAAAAATCCATGAAATTCATGATAAACATCCTTCCAGATTTTATGGCAAAATAAAAAATACAGATATTATATATATGTATATAAACATTATTTCTAACTTACTATGTTTTGTCATAAGTTCATAAGGTTCTTTCTTGTTCCATTAATATAAACCTCATCTTTATGCTTGCAATACTTTAAAAGTTTCTTTTGAGCATTAATTGGCTTCAGCTGGATTTCCTTCATCTAAACTTCACATAACTCTTTGAAATTTTGTCTCGTACATCATAACATTTGTTGTCGATATAGGATGTTAACAAAAACTATTTTATGACAGATTTCTGTTCTCCTATAATTTGACTCCTCAATATAATCTGATTTCTACAATCATTTTTAGATACACAAAAAAAAAAATAAAAAAAAATTGGGCCAAAATCAATGCATATTGTACCAACTTCTTTTTTCACATTTCTTTAATTTTTCATTTAATTTTCATCAGTATTCACATGAGTGTATTTACACACAGATAAATTTGTACATGTACACTGAATATCCCTGAAAACACCAGAGATACAATATACTACAAGATTGCACTGAAAGTCCTCTCTATCATACTGACTGGACTAAAATTGTCCAAAAATCAAATCTTATTTAAAATTTGTCACACTTGCCATATTATAAAATAATTCAGTATCTTTGGGTAAAATTTTAACATTGTCTATGTAATCAACTAATTAAAAAAATAATTATCAAAAAGAAAAGAAAAGAAAACAAAACAAACATGCACTTTCATGACATTACAGAACTAAATTAATTTCACTCAAATTTAAATGATTTCTGCAAAAATTCCACCCTTAGTTTTCAGATACCTTAATATTTAAGTGAAATGAAAAGTGGAACTGGGATATTTTGATTCACACAATAGTGACAATACATTATTTACAGATGCATACTTAACTAGGAAAGGATCAATAGGAGATAGCACCTCAGGCAGTAAGAATTAGAATAACAACATTGCATGTTTAATTAACTGTGTTTGGCACTGTTATGTTTCTGCATCACCTGTTCAGGAATTGGAAATTAATATAATCAGCTGTTTGTAAAATATTTATGTACCCCGTATATTGTACCGAGATGACCCATTGAAAGAAGTATTCAAGGCATGCAATACATCTTTTTTGTATAAGATGAAGTTATACATGCAGGTCCAACTATTGACCTAGCAAGAAAATTTTCAAACCTAGCTAAATTCTCTGTGTCCATAGTTTAGCAGAATTATAATTGGCACTTTTTTCCCCCATTCTCTTCCATGGCATTCATGATCATCATAAACATTACACATACTATCTCAAGAGGCCCATAGGCCTTCACAGTCACCTGAATATCGCAGGCTTGTTAGAAATTTGTACAACTGAGGCCATAGCTCCATTCTTGATCCAGAATTCTGGACCAAGGATATAAAGTTCTAAACAAATAAAACCTCACTTATTATCAAAATGCATAAAGATACAGGTGTAAAAGAAGATTTTTAAAATTGAAGCACAATAGGCAATTCAAGTTTTTTTCCTCTGTTTAGCATCCATCTATCTTTCATAAACCTTACCCGCCTACTCACCCAAAAAAAAACCACAGACACACAAAAATTACTGACTTTATAGTAAAAAAAAACAATTCAAAGGATTTGATTTCATTAATTATTTTCCTTGAAGAAAGATCTACTTCTTTGCAAAATCAAGGTAATAATATAATGCTAAATATATACCTAATTTGACAGATTCTAAACAAATCACATAGAAAGAAATTGACAGTTTTATAGGTTTCCACCAAATAATCAATTTCAAGACTACTGATTTTGTTTTTTTTTCTGATCTTGGGTGTCAAAAAACCAAGGTGCACACAGATGCTAAACATAAAAAAAAACTTGGAATGGCCTTGGAAAAATATGCTCAAAATAAAGACACCAAGACTGAGGCATTAACTCTGCATGGACATAGTAAAACCTTACAATATTGGTAGATGGATCAATGCTCACAATTATTTTACAAAAGGTTTTTTTTCCTAGATATCTAGGACAGAAGAGATATACAATTTTCATGTGGTGAACTTTAATAAAACCCTATGCTTGGAACATCCTCCACATCCTAAAAATTTCTAACCCCCCCCCCCCTTCCACTTAAAAAAATATATTTATTAAGAGCTCAATTATTATAGCTTCTAGGGGTGTATTGATATAACGATATAAGGGTATACAGTGGAGCCTCATTAATCCGGAGGTCAATAATTTGGATGCTTCGTCTTCTGGATGAATTTTGTGGAGAACAATTTATATTCATAGATATATTACGTATGTTTCAATAATCCAAATGCTTTATTAATTCGGACAACTTTTTCAAGAACACTAGTGTTCAGATTAATGAGAATCTACTGTACACACAAAAGAGTTGCAGTACCTGTGTAATATGATATTATAACATTTAAAAGCAAATTATATTTTTTTCTTTTTAGTTTAACCTTATAATAAAGTGATTTTCTTTATTTATACTAATCTTATGCCGTTATTGTGTTCAGAGCTTATCAAATGTTACATAATGTATCCATGAACTTGATGAAATAATCTTCAACTTTTATCCTTTCACACTAAGATAGTGTCTCATTTCAGAGTCAAAATTATGACAGGTGAACCATTGCGATATGCATCATGATACAGTCCCAGTGCATCGTGATATATCAAGATACACTTTAGCCTTATGTTACATCTGTATTCTTAATAGCTAATGATTCATTTCAAAGAGAACATAAAATATTCATGCACTGCTGTGCAGAAGTTAATAAAACTAAAGGAAATACAGAAAAACAGGCACATTAACATTGATCTTTTCTATAGTGTATCTGACTGTATAAACATTCATATTTTTAATGTATATATCTGACAGCACGTTTCCATACGATCACTGCATGCATGAACAGTTGGCTTAAAATTAGCATTTAAGCATCTAAAGAACACGTACACTGAAAAGTGTATGTACTTCATGATCAATTACAGTTAAGTCAGTGAACCACTCTGGAAATCAATGTTTTAAGTTCCAAAGATCAAATGAATTAAAATTAAACATTGCAACAGAGATGCAAGATAAATATTCCTCCTACCTCATGTGAAGAAAGGCAAAAATTTTCCATTCAACCACATGCGAAAAACTTATATTTTCAGTGACCCCAAAATGCCAATAATGTTCAAAATATTTATCCAATTATTTTTCTTCTTATGGTGAATTTAGGTTTGTCTCTTTTTGTAATAACAGATCAACAGTCTTAATTTGAATCCCATACATAAGAATAATTTTACTACACAGAATGGTACATCTGTCTAATGTCATACATACTAAATCCTAATCACGCAGACTCCCTGTATATATACCAACACAGTTCTTGTTTATCCTCATCATCTTTCATCAGAATTAACATCATCGTAATGAGTAAGTGTTTACAAAACAATCCTACATTTCTCCGGAGATATGATATGTATACGTACCTGTCTACAATAGAAACCCAAACTATGCGAGGTCACATTTTCAGCAGTACCATAATTCCCCTGTTTTTTATTCGTTGTATTAATTCTGTTAATGTGAGATCTATACAAATTTCTAGAAAATTCTTCACATGTGATTTCTGGAGAATTCTGAATGAAAAAACAGCAATCATAGATAACATACCCTACAAATAATAAAAGAATTCATTGATTTTCCTCCTCAATTATTTTTTAATGTATTTGACACAATTTATCTTGATTAAAGTATCCTTAAATCAACAACTTGTCCCTGACATCTTTCTTGCACTCTTGACTATAACCACAATAAAGAAGGTCCTTAAGTACCAGTTAAGTGTTTTCTTTAGCTGCATGCAAAACAGACTGAAAAAACATTATAAACTTGAAAATCAATGCCTTAAGGTTAAACTGAGGTAATGGTATTACCAGTGTATTTCCTTATTTATGTTATGGGGAAATATCAGCGAGTCCTCTTGTTCCTGTAATACAGACATATAAGAGTTTTGTTATACTTAAAAGACATCACACTAATATTCGCTAGATGAATTAATATAAACTCAAAAAAGTGAGCACAGAAAACTTTCCCAAGGTTTATTGTAATATGGCAGCTAGATCGACTCTTCAGTTTTATAGCAACTAGAATTGGAAATTAAAAACAAAAGAACCAAAAAGTACAAAAAATCAATTAATGGGTAGAATGAACTCTAGGCAATTTCTACTGAAGTAACAGAGACAGAGAGATTTCCCCCCTTTAAGCTTCATTCCTTGTTGTGTGTCTTAAGCACCTACAGCACAGGGACAGCTATACAATGATCTGATCAAAAGGGTGAATATGTCAGGACAAAGGGGTTAAACGTCTGAACAAGCAGGTATACACAGGACACTGACTGTCAATGGGGTCAATGGATCAGGTACATTGAACGATTATGACAGGTTTCTGTCAATATGTGTCCAAGATTAAACTAATATCAATGAAACAGCTTACAAATTAACCAATCCATGATCGATATGATCAACAGGTGAAGACTCAAACTTATAGTTCTGATGGACTTCAGGATAAAAGTTGTATATCTTTTTAGTATGTATGCCCCTTTTCAAGATTGTAAAACAAGTTGAGGAAAAATAAATGAAAAAATTAAAGGGTAGAGGTAATAAAACTTTTTCTAGGAAAGTGACAATAATCTGAAGAATTTTTAGAAAATTAATAAAGTGTTAAGAATAATGTTTATGTCAGGTAGAATACAATGTATATTAAAAATATAAAACAACAAGAGGCCAATGGGCCAAACACTCACCTGAGTAACTTTGGCCCTAGGGTTCTTCACCAGATTTTCCCTACTTGTTATACATATTGTGACGGGCCACCCTACCCAAAGGGGGGTCATGCTTTGAACAATTTAGAATCTACACTACCCCAGGATGCTTCCACATAAGTTTCAGCTTTTCTGGCCTAGTGGTTCTTGAGAAGTAGATTATTTAATGATCCACCCTATTTTTGTCATCATCTTGATTATCTCCCCTTGTAAGGGGACTTGGCCCTTCATTTTGAAAAAATTAAACTCCCCTTCACTCAACTTTGGTTAAAATTGGCCCAGTGGTTCTTGAGATGAAGTTGAAAAAGTTTACAGATGGATGGATGGACAGCTAGATGGAAGGACAGATGGATGATGGACAACAGGTGATCAGAAAAGCTCACTTGAGCTTTCAGCTCAGGTGAGCAAAAAACCCCAAAACAAAAATTTCAAATAGTACTATTATATGGATAACAGTTATATTTTATGAATTATAACAACACTATAATAATTTGGTAAAATTTTCAGCAAATTATAACAGTGAACACTGGCTGAAATAACACTTTGTACAGAGAACTGTGGTACACATTCTAATATTATAGTAAAATGAGAGAGAGAGAGAGAGGATCATGTTACCATTTTCATCTATTAAGTTTAAGAGCTAGTTTTAAATTTTCTGAAGTTTTATTCATTTTAAAATTGAAAATATGATCACAATCAAGAAAATATATCACATACATATGTAAGATTTAACTCTAGTTCTTACTAAAATTGTGACTGATTACCAATACAGTTGTTTGTACCATTTACTTTCCAATTAGTACACAAGAAAGTGCCATCTTAGTCATGGCATTTTCTTAAAAACATATTTTACAACATAAATATCCAACGTCTGATTTGATTATTTAAAAAAAAAAATGAACTTACTTATATACTTATTATTGAGAGTTAAATCTCAAAGGAACGAAAATCCAAAGACAGCACTAAATTATTGTAAAAGTTCAAAATCTCTACATTCAGACAAAACAAATCTTCTTTTTCAATCATAATGGGCTAAAGCATGCCAAGCATATATTAAATGCTTTGTTTACAAACTTCAATATTAATTGCATGATTGGAGAAGCATTACAAATGTACTACCCAGCTGAATAAAAGGCCCAGTCAGTTAGGCCTATAAAAAGACAAACCAAAAAGACCTTGTTGACATAATCTTATCAGAGCCTGACATAAGCTATCATAATTCACCGAACAGTAAACCTAAGTAAAAATAGATCTTTAGATTGTATACTAGATAGTATTTCCAAAATATACTCTTGTTTACAAGATTGTTAAAGTCCTGTGCATTATATCGTTGAATTTAAAGTCTGCACAAATAGTACACAATTATGTTGATATATACGCAGTTTAACCTATTTTTTTTTCTTTTAGGCCAAAACAAAAAATTCAGCTTAGGGTTTCCCTATTAACCTTCCCCTGAATGATTTTTTTTTTCAGCACTTCATAAAAAACATCCGTACACACCCATACAGTCAAACCTTGTTATCTTGAACTCCACAAGACCAAGATTAAACTTCCTAGGATTTGAGATATATTAAAGATCGAGGTTAAAAGCATAAAAGTTGTTGGGACTGAAAACTCTCTTCAACATATTCCTGGTATTTGAGATATCAGTTTTAGAGATAACGAAGTTAAACTGTATACATTTTTTGTGGGGCTGAAAAATTAATTTTGCTTAAAAAGTTCTGTTAAATAACCTTATGATCAGTGATCACATATGTATACATGTATATGATTGTGTACTAATGTGTATATCTGTAATAGATCCGACACACATTAAAGCTTAGATTATAACACGAAGTAATTTTACAACCATTTCCATTTCCTTTTGCATAATGCCTTTGTAGAAAAATATGACTAATTAGCATTGCTCATATACCAGTTGTAAGTAAATTATATGTATTTTAAAGTTCATTATTTTATACTTTGTTAATAACTATATTATAAATTTTTCTAAAGATTTTGCCATGCGTAAGTGAATATAAACTATTTGTCATTGGAGTGAAATCAAGCTCTTATAGAAAGTGATTGATCACTTAAAATAAATATAGGGATTGATTTTAGCACCTTTTATGATACGTCAATATAATTTCCAATATACAGAGGATCATATTAGATCCTTTCAAACATATGATGTATGGATGGATGCAATATCTCATTCTGCAAGCTTGCATACACAATTACACCAAAGAGCACTCAGGTGTTGAAAAGAAACTGCACAATTTACTACACAGTTTAACATTAGGTCAGGCATTGCACCTTATCAAATAAACAATTATAGGCACATCATCTGCCTCAATCATCAAAATTCAAAGAAAAGATATACATGTCAGACAAAGGAATTACACTATACTGAAAGAAAAAAAATCAGCCATACCTACTAATAATGAAGTAAAGGCCAATATTTATCCACACAATAAAATGATTACCATGTGATAATGATTCAGCTAGACTGCATATGCTCCCAATCTTTCCCTCTCATAAAGAAGTCATGTGATTCACAGCTGATGCATTTTCAGCTTGCAGATGTCAGACAAAGTCATGTGACTACCATGTGATAATCTCAACTGATGTTGAATCAATGGAGATCGAATCACCCTCTTACAATGGAAACATTGATTTTAACATGTTTAAGACACAGCTAGAAATCCAATAAAGGGCATCAACTTCATTGTCTGGACCAGAATCACTGATCAGCTGATGGGATAACCTATAATCTTTATCCCATGGAATCAGATGTATAATTGTATATAGGTTATATTTAGCCAGCAAAAGCCAAAACATCAAAACAAAAATCAGCTGACGGTATTTTAAATATGTCAAACAAAGAGCTACAGTGTATAAGAGCCCTTTAAATATGTCAGTTAAAATTGACAGGAAAGTAAAGGCAACAACAATGAAAGCTGCACGGTGATAAAACCTTTGTGAACCACTTACCTTGAAAATGTACATCAGACTCGTTCCAACTAATCAGAAAATTTTTTCCAATAAGTGTAGGGGGAAGCTATCCTTTGTTTATGACACTTCAGTGTTTTCTAGACTCTTCAATATCAGCTGATTTTTCCACCTGGAAAATCAATGGCGATAATTTAATTCGCTTCTGTGTGTCAGAATTTAATAATTCAATTCTTCACGAGTCTTGTAAAAAAAACAACCCAGCCACTTTGCAGTGAAGAGATGTCTGAAAATAAATATCAAGCCACTTAGGTACTTATATATCTAAGGAGTATTTTCCTTTTATCTTACAAATTACATTAACATTCAGAGCATGACTGTGCACCAGTAAATAAACAGAGCTAAAAATAACACTTAAATGTGCATCTTAAATTGGCTCCTTTTACATCATTGAAATCAGTCATGTCTATAAAACATATAGAAGTAACTAGCCAATGGAATGGGTTTATAAGTGTTCAAAATGTTATTGTCAGCTGGAAAAAATACTGTACAAGGAACAAGGTTTTGAATATGCTATAACCTTAAAGAAATTTTCAAACAGTTTTAAGGAAGATTGAACCGGAAAATAAAATGTGTACATTTTTGAGCCAATATGACTTTGTCAATCACTAGCAACTCTTTACCTCTTGTTCAACTCTGAAAAAGAGGATAAACTAGTAAAAATCAAGTTTAAATTAAATTGTTAAATTGCAGATAATTGAAAACTTTATCAAGAATTTTAAAAATTCAACATATTTTTTTTTAATAGTCTGCTTTTAAATGATTCAATCCTCTTCAACAACAAAAGCAAGCATGGTTACCTAGAGTTTGTTCATTCTTGCAGGAAAATGATTGAAGTCTTTCAGGAAATGTTGCAGATTTGGAAGTGGATACGTATACTGTAGTGGGTATTTCAGATGATGCAATTCTTCCTCAATGTTATACCCTACTCTTCCTCTGATGACCTTGAACTTCACAGTCTAATTGATCTTCATAATGACTTTGTAAAACCTTTGAATGAAGTTTAAGCATTAGCTAATACTGTATACAGGGTTATTTTCGCCTCATGCTATTTTGGCTCTTTTACATTACAAACAATTTTGCCCCATTTTAAATTCGCCCATTCACAATTCTGTTTAAGAAATTATACTATGTTCTTTTAATTCACCCCGTTTTAAATTCGCCCACCTGCGAGTAGGGCGAAAGGGGTGAAAATAAAACGGGGGCAAAAATTTCCCCTTATACAGTAGTTTTATAAAGCACGTTGGATACCCAGTCAGAGTTTGTGATTGATGAACAAACCGATCAACATGGTAATTCATTATGTACTACTCATTTTATCCCCAAAAACATATCGCAATATATATTTTTTGTCAACAAATCGCAATATACCGGAATATCGATATGTCAAATTTCTGGGAGCAAATAGATCTACAAGTTGTACATAAATTTTAACAATTTAAGTAGCTCAGTATTAATATTGCAATCAGTTTGCTTTATGATACTAAACAAGTTGATTTACCTTTTTCTTTTTGTTCATCAAATGATCAATTTAGTCTTTTTTCTGGAGATTATACATGTAAACATTAGCTTCCAGGACCATAAAACTTAGAGAGCTCACTTTTGATCTTAGTCTCAATGTTCTACTATGAATTTGTTTGTAAAAGTGAGACTGGTATTAAAAGTGAGCTCATCAAAGTTTTATGGCCACGAAGCCTGGACCAGAAGGTTTTTCTTTAAATCTGCATATTTTTCCCAGGTGTGCCTGCAGCCACTGCTAAACTCACAAGGAGAGGACTTTGAAATTCATAATTTTGTTTCTGTATACTCAAAGAAATGCTACCTATAATATAATTACATGAAAATGGTTCTGACAGTAGTTTCATTGAAGAATCTAGTAATACATGTATTTCAAACTTTATGGAGCAAGCAAATGGCAGAAATGGCTAATAATAATATGTCACCCAAGCGGCACAGCATCATGATGACCTAAAAATAGCATTAACACTCCAGGAAGATAGACATTATACTGTGACATTACATACAATTTACTAGAAATTATATTGGCTAGTTGTGTCTTCTGGGATTCAGCAGCAATTAACTGACATATCAACTTTCCTATGCTTCCCATACCTTCAGGACCTAAACATATACTGTTCCAATAGAGAAAATTACTTGTTGTAATTGAGAAAATTGCTGAGAATTGTTGCAATTATCATACTACCTTATCGCTTATTGTAATTTTTAATGATGATTTGATCTACATTAGAATATTAACACAAAAACCTTTTTAATGGTGTCTACTATTACAAACGTATATCATTTTGATTATAATACAGCTTTTCAAGTATAGTATAGCTTCAATATTTAATATATTTAACAAAGTATATGTATAAAGCTGGTTTAATTGATCATGAATTTCAGCTTGAAACCTAAATTAAAAAGAATGTTGAGAACTAATTAGCACATCTTGACCTACATGTAATGTTCATTTACTTGATTTGCACTACAAAAAAAAAATTTTAGTGTGTGCATACGTGCATTAGCTAATAATCAAAATTCGGAAAAAAAGTTTATGATATCTTGACCAAGAAAAAAAAAGTCTCGGACAAGACTGTAGCTCTATTGGTTTTTACTTAACAAAGGTTGAGAAATTAAGGTATAAACACTTAAGACTTGAAACAATGGCAACAGTAATAAATAAAATGATGATCCTTGTTTTAGTCAGTCTTTCTGAGTCAAGTTTAACTGCAATTGGACAAAAACTGCACATGTAGGAAAAGTAGCAGTTTGAAAGAATTTCACAGAAATTTCATTTTTTAATAACCATGGCAACACTTTATCAAAATCACCAACTGATAAACAGAATTATGTATCTCAGTGTAGTCTTCTTGTGTACCAAGTTATATTGAAATTAGACTAAAACTGTAGGAGGAATAGCATTTTGAAAAATTGTTTACAGACAAACAAACAGACCACAGACACCTTACTTTGCATAAGCTCTTCTGGAGACTCTGACAAGTAGAGCTAAAAAAAAAAAGGTCAGAAGAAAAAACAAAGAAGGTGTAATTCTACCACCACACATCTTCTACCATTGCTTTGATGGTCATGCTGTTATTTACAAGACTGGCTTGTTTTTATGAATAGAATTTATGTAAATATGAAACCAATACTGTTATCAACTTGGACCTTTCTATGTAAATAAAAACTTGTAATTATCTACTCATTATTTAGATAAACTTTGATAAAAGTTGCTGTTTGGTCAAGTTCAACCCCGATAACTGAAATAGATCTGGTGGTGAAGTTGGCCCACAAACTGCGTATTAGCAGTAATGGAAATTCAGACATGACGTATAATGTTTGTATGCATAAGATACTGCAAATTTGTTCATGTCCTAACATTACAATGCTGGTGTTCCATGCCTGTATGCCAATGTATTCACCAGGATTTTTCCATATTAATATATATTCAACTAAAGTGGACTGGGTAAACTAGTCATATTTATTGTTTTACGTCTCCCCACTCCCATAATTTCTTCTGGAATAAGAATAAGTAAGGAATTCTTACCCATTTTAAATCTGCAGATTCCATCCAAGAGAACTCCAACAATGTGGATGCTAGCTGCTGACCAAAAGGAAATTATAAAACTGCATGACCAACTCCCTTTGAAACCATAAATCAACACAAATGTCACTAGCCACTTTCTGAAAATATCTGATCTGGAAATTAAAATAAAAAATAACAATTTTAAAAATTCACTGCAAAAATAGATTTTAAAATAAAAACTTATTCATGAAATTAATTCAACATGCTTACCAGTAATTACATACACAGTATATATATTTATAGAGGGAGAGAGAGAAAGAGAGAGAGGGGGTACATATTTATACATTTTTAGTGGCATTCCACCTCTCCATTCTGCAATTTTGTAAACATTTTTCCTGTAAAGAAAAAACAGATAAAGAAAGCAGAAAGGTGCAGCACAGGACCAAGGTTATACAAACTTTAAGCAAGATTATAATGTCAAACTAAACAGGTCTCTTTTTCATTTACTGGTAAACAAACCCCTTTTATGCAAACACGCTGCCCCTTTTATTACATAATCTCCTAAATCCTCAAAGGAGGATGAAATTTTCAAGACAAATGAAACCAGGTTATCATAAAAGAAAACAAAATTAATCTTATTTAAGAAAGGTTTTCAACAATGCTCCTAAAAATCTTGTACAGTCTCTTTGAGCTCTTTCAGGCAATGCATATCTTACTTTAAGACTCAAGTGGAAATATCTGTATGATGTTCTGTATGATAACTATCTGGTCCAATAAATTAAATTTTTCAGTGATTGGCATTATTTGGTTTGTGACAAGCTAGAATACCATCATTGTATCATCCAAATACAACTTATTTTTCAAGTTGCATCAAATGGGATTCAAGATATAATTGTCAATTAAAAGATTTATAAATCATTTAAGAAATAAAGTATGGAAGTATTTTTAATATGGGTCCCTAAAAATCACGACCTTGGAAAAACAAGGTAGGTTTTCTTCAAAGTCACATGAATACACATGTACACTCTATCAAAAAAATATATATCATTCATTATTGACACTTGCGTTACTATAGATATTAACCAAATGCTTCCATTTCTCCCCTCTTCACTGTCTTCAGAGCTGATTGTCATAGTGATCCATACAATGACCCTTTCAACTTCATCATTAAGACATACAGCTTCAATAATATATGGTGGAAGGTTCACCACATTGTTTATTTGTGATATTTAAGGGCAAAATATGATGCATTTGAGCTTCATAAAACATTTTGAAATATCACTCTAAAAAGTTCAATAATATTATAAGTTTGATAATACTATAATGCACAGAAAATGTCTTTTGAATGAAAATTGAAAAAGAAAAACATTATTAAGTTTGAGACATTTGACTTTATTTTATAAAGATAATATTCAACAAAAATTCAAATTTTAATTGACACATACTATATGTAAAATAAATATATGCTGATTTTTAATGTAAAATTTTTCAAAATTCAAAATGACTGACAATCCAATAAAAATTTAACATATTTCCAGAGAGAAATACAGGAGTTATTTCCCTTTAAAAAGCATTTCCTGACTTCTTCAATTTGTTTTCAACCCATGAGGCACCTAAATGACAAATCTCAACTTTGACAAGATAATTTGTAAAATGAGAATATTGTGATTGTTATTTAAAATCCGTAAATTTTACAAACCTAGCAAAAGATGCAATCATTATTACACCATTTCAAACAAACATATAAACAACTACTATGACTCAATGATTCATTATTACATTTTTTATTTTCAAAACAGAATTATCTGTTAGCAAGAAGAAAAAAAATGTTTTCTATATATGCCATATAATAAAGAATGTAAAGTATGTATACATTTTCCTTTAGATATCACTGAATGATATGCAGAGTTACTGCAAACCACTGAAAATTCTTATTTATATCACTTTTGCATGCATGATGCATACTATTACACATGATACAAGTAATTTCTCCAAATGAATGATGCATTTAGTCATGTTAAATAATGGTGAAACCGGTGATAGATGTACATTTGTACTTCATCAGATAAATTTTAATATATTTGAATAAAGGTATTTATCATGACAATACAAAAACAATAGTTTTGAATTAAAAATGTTATCTATTCTGTCATATTATGTCATTTTAAATTCTTAAATATACCAAACTTCAAATTGCACAAGACATTTGCTTTTGATACCTGCCCTTTTATTTCACTGCAACATAACCTTATTTGTAGGAGATAGAAAATCATCACTGACTAGACAATAAAAGATTAGAAATCAGCACCAAGCAGATTATAATTTATAAATTTAAAAAGAATACAAATCAGGTTTTGTTTACAATTCTATCACAACTATACAAAAAAAAAACAAACGAACAAACAAACAAAAAAAACCAAAAAAAAAAAAAACGTAAATAAGTAAACGATCTGTATAAGTTATTACTAACACTTTAATATGAAAATAGGCAATAAACCCCACAGTTATCATGACAATTAAAATTTTCTTTCTATTTACATATATTAAAGGGAAACCTTTTCAATACAAATATATTTGTCACTTTTGAAGAATGCATGCAGGCTTAATCTTTTCTAGCATAAAAAATAAACATTTCATTTAAGTTGTATATAATAATATTTGCTGAGAGAATAAATTTTTAGATCAGCCATGAATGGGTGTCATATACCCTCTCAAAGCAAGCAAAATCTATAAAACTGTGAGCTTAAATTGCTTTTTAGACAATTTTAATTGTGAATTTAGCCTCACACAAGTTTGTTCAGGTTGCATTCACATGTACATATGCGTACACGACATGTAGCTACACACCTAATTGGAAGCAACAGTTATTTAATACAAACAATACAATATAATATTGCTGTATATAAATTATATGAGACAACAAGCATGAGAGCTCTGGCAAGAATCACTTTAATGCTTTAAGCAATAAAAATTCTCTGTTACCCATGAACTCAAAAACTAAGAACAAAAAGTTCATTAGTAGAGATGCTTCAAGTTGTTAAAAACAAAAAAAATGTCAATAAATGATGTCCAAAAAAAAAAAACAACAGATAATAATTGATAACAGCTTCATAAGACTTAGAAATTATATAAAATAAACTAGACAGCAGCAGCTATGAAGTTCCTTCATCCAGGTCTTCTGTGGGTGACTTGCGTCCTCTTTTCGGGGGAGGACTAGCTGTCGGGGAAAATGACTTGGGGGTCTCAAAAGAATCCTCCATATCCTCCTCCTCCTCTTCAAAGTCTCCCTGAGACATGTCAGGGGTGGGGCTGCTGGGAGGGGAAATGGCTCGAATCCAAGTTGACTGTAAGAATAAGAAATAAGATGCACATTAAATTAGAAAAAGATTATCTAATTTTTAAAAGCATATTTTCCTTTTTTCCTAAAATTTGGGGGGGGGGGGGGGGGGAAGGGAGTGTTAATATTCTTGTATCATTGGAAAGACTTTTCAAAATAAAATGTTTTTGTGTAGCAAATAATATACTAGAATTATATCAGAGCAAACAATTGACCTCCATTCCTATATTTTCAAATAAGAACCATTAAGAATTCCATCAAAAGACTTTAATAATGTATAATTTCTTTCAAAATTTATAATGTAAAGATTGACATTCAGTTACTTGATTATAAATCTTGTAATAAACTAACCTAAATACAAGCATCTGTGTAAAAATCTATGTACAGGAAAACATTGTTATTACTTCATGTTTACAGCGAAATAATTTTCATTCCCTATGTTATAAAACATACAAACATACACTATGAACTTACAGGATTTAACGAATTACATTTATAATGAATCAAAGATTGCTTGTCCCTGGCACTTTGCTATAAGTGTGTTTTACTGTATATGCTGATAGTGTCATCAATAGCATGAAACACAGGTAATCAGATATTACAGAGCTCACCTCAATGAATGTTGTCTCTAAGTAATGCACAGTCCCACACTAAACTAATAATCTAGTAGTGTACATCCGTAGATGCCAAATTTATGCAATTTTACTCTGATAGGGCTTGCAGTTACTTGGGAATGGGCTTATCTAAAAACTTTAAACTAGTCAATCATCCAGGAAATGTAGGTCAAATCCAGCATCCGAAGCAAGTTTGAAAGTGTTCGTCCCTTGATGCATCATCCATGCAAGCTTGGTTCAGATAGGCCTTATAGTTTCTTGGCAATGGACCTGCTCCAAAAACTTTAACCTGGTCACTCATCCGGAAAAAGTAGGTCAGATCCAGCATCTTAGGCAAGTCCAGTAGTGTGCATCCTTATATGTATCATCCATGCAAGTTTGGTCAAATATAGGACTTACAGTTACTTGGAAATGAGATCTGCTCCAAAAACTTTAGCCTGATCACTCATCTGCAAAATGTAGGTCAGATCCAGCATCCAAAGTAAGTCCAGTAGTGTGCATACTTAGATGTATCATCCATGCAAGTTTGGTCAATATAGGGCTCATAGTTACATGTACTTGGAAATGAGATCTGTCCCAAAAACTTTAACCTGATCATTCACCCGGAAAATGCAGGTCAGATCCAGCATCCTAAGCAAGTCCAACAGTGTGCATCCTTAGATGTATCGTCCATGCAAGTTTGGTCAATATAGGGCTCATAGTTTCTTGGCAATGGACCTGCTTCAAAAACTTTAACCTGATCACTCATCCACAAAATGTAGGTCAGATCCAGCATCCGAAGCAAGTCCAGCAGTGTGCATCCTTAGATGTATCATCCATGCAAGTTTGGTCAATATAGGGCTCATAATTACTCGGAAATGATATCTGCTCCAAAAACTTTAACCTGATCATTCATCCAGAAAATGTAGGTCAGATCAAGCATCCGAAGCAAGTCCAGTAGTGTGCATCCTTAGATGTATCATCCAAGCAAGTTTGGTCAACATAGGACTTATAGTTACTTGGAAAGGAGATCTGCTCCAAAAACTCTAACCAGCTCCAAAAGCATTAACCTGGTCATTCTTTAGCTGAAATGGCAGCATCTGAAACCTTGACTGGTACAATGAAACATACTAGAGCGCCCTCCATGCACCTCTGATTAATATAGCATAGAAGTACTGAAATAGAAATCTGCTCCAAAAACTTTAACCTGGGAAGCCGACGCAGAGGGTATTACATAACCTCCCCTAACTTCGTTGAGGTGAGCTAAAAACCAGAAATACAATGACTAAAAATTTGACAACAAATTCACTTACCAGTCTACCATCCCTTCCAAACATTTCTAAAAAGTTTCCAATGAAATCTTTAGACCTTTCCTCCCAACGATGTAAGAGCTCATGTCCCTTGTCTTTGGTCTTGTCTATCAGTTCTTTCCCTTTGTCTTTGATCGAATTGAAGTTGGTCTCAAACTGAATTTTTTTCTCCTGTAAATACAATTAGATTTTAAAAATAGTAAAAACAAATTGGGAAAGCATAAGAACCAAAAATTCACTGACAGGACACGTAGCTCTGCAATCTTTGACCAACAGAGCTAAAATTGATGAACTGCATTCTTTTGCTAGCAAATGTATCAAGAACAGAATATTGCATATCCATTTTGTCGATGCATGGTATTAGGGTGAATAAATTTTTATGTTCACTTTCTTGTTTTAAACTATATTTTTTTTTTACAGTTGCACAATAAGAGTCTTGAGGTACTGTAAGCAGTGAGCTCACAAAATGATACCACCCACTCCCATATGAGTATTATATGGCAAAGCCCATTTATTGCTATGGGAAAGCCAACATATCTATCCAATCAAAATATAAAGTTGGAGGTGCACAAGTACATGTAATAAAGATTCTGTGAAAGTATCATTTAATTTTATTCGGTGGTATAGGAGGAGTTGCAGAAAAGAAATAGATATAGAAAGAAAAGCACGTCCATGTTTTGCTATGGGAAGCCTGAAATATACATTTTATCAAAAAGTAAATTAGGAAGTGACAATGGCACTATGTAATAAAGATTTTGTGGAAGTATCATTATATTTTATTCAGTGGTCATGGCCGTAGGAACCGGGGGGGGGGGGGGGGGGGGGGGACGGGGGGGCTGTGCCCCCCAATAATTTTGCCGATATATAGATTACTATAGAAAACATAGATACTATATGCCTGTACCCCCTGAATAAAAACGTCTGATGACCCTTTTTTTTTTTTTTTTTTTTGGCTTGTCAAGAAATTTTTGGTAGTTGATAGTGCCCCCTCAACTGAAAATGTATGGTTGTGCCCCCCCAAACTAAAATTGCTTCCTACGGGCCTGGTGGTATAGGAGAAGTTGTGGATAAGAGATGGGTACCCCCAATATTATAGACAGAATGGCAGTGTCCATGTTTTGCTTTGGGAAACCTGAAATATGTGTCCGATCAAAAAGTAAAATAGGAGGTCACAATAACATTATGAAAAAAAGATTCTGTGAAAGTCTCATTAAATTTTATTCAGTGGTATAGGAGGAATTGTGGATGACAGAGGGTACCCCAAAGCATAACAGTTGGAAGGATGGACGGATGTACATACGGACGGACACCCCCATCACTATACACCCTCCCACTTTTCAAGCAGGAGGAATAATAGAATTGTAATCATAGTTCTCAAATTAATTGTACACAAGTATAGGGATAAATCATGATTAATGATAAATTAATTCTTTGTTTAAGTAAATTAAAACACAGACATGATGAATACAAACCAACCTTCATATAACTGACGTTGAGATCTTTAGCAGAATAGCCGCGGCTGAGATTTCTCCGTACATACATGTCATAGTCTTTAATTATTCTGGCTATGACATCTGTTGTGGATATACCCTCTGTCCTCTGTGTTGCAAGAAACCTGTAAATTTCTAAAGAGTTGAGCACACAAGACATATGGTAAGCTTTTACTTGACTTGCCCCTTGTAAAAGTATGTGTAGACAATTCTAATTATGTATTACAGTATATTCCTTAAACTTTGTTTTTATGTGATTTTTGTTAGTGACTTTTTATATTTGTGTAAGTTTCTTTACAAATATAATATTATCTTAACATACAGGTAGGAATCTGCCTTACAAACTTACATGCCCTTTTCTTTAAGACCTTTATAGATATCCTCTGTGCCTCCTGCTCCATAGGGCAAATCATCATGTGCCACAAAGTCAATCTGAAAGACAGAGAGTTTAAACCTGAGCAAAAAGAAATGCCAAGTCTTATAGGGTAGACAGAGAATTACAGAGTTATCTCTCCTGTTGTCATTCGAAAATATATATGTACACTTTTTTGTTTTAGAAATGTTTTACTACCTTATTGAACACTTGAATTTTCTACTTTTTATAGTAAACTTTCCAAGTAATATTTTTGTCTTTTACTAATGAACACTTTCAAGAGATACCTTCTGTTTTTCTAGGAATTCATCTGTGACAGTCCAGGGGGCACCAGTGAGAAGCTCGTCAACATAACGACAGTGTCGTACCGCCTCATATCGCTCAGATTCATTCATGACTGTACGACCTTTCATCTTGTGTGTCAGTTCATCATCACAAACTGTAGACATTTATGTTGAATGTTTCACATACACAGATCAATATCTGTACCTAAACTTAAAATTTTGTTGTCAAAAAGAAGTCTGAGAATTGAAAATTATCTTAGGTAGAAATATTTAAAATTCAAAGCTGTTTACTCCTTTTATTAAAAAGCATAATGCGTGATATGCTTGATACAATATGAAAGTTTGTCCACATGTTAGACCCCAAATTTCCTGGAATCAATAAACTTTATCAAGAGAGGTATCCTCTGGCTAGTCAAAGAAATTGTGACTGCAGATCCTATTGCTTTTTAATTTGAAAGTTAACTTTCTCTGCATGAACACTTCACCAAATCATTGACAATATGACTTTAGCAAATTACACAGATCCCAAACCATTGTTATTATTGCATAGCTTGGTTGAAGCAGAAATTTTTTTGTGCAAACACTCCGTAAAGAAATTTAATAGTGTGCTGTTGGTAAAAGGAAGCCACACTGTACAGACAATTCATGTTCAAATTACACTGATAAAATCAATTACTTCTGCATATCCCCATGATTATAACTGACAAGTAAAATATGCATACCAATAAATTGCTTTTAAAACAATTCTGATAAGTTTAAGAATACTAGTTCCTTGTAATGGTTGTCTGCATAGCTTGAAAAACAAGAACATAAACAAATATTGATTCTCAATACTTGATGACACCTAATGAAAATGGAACGGAAAGATAAAACTAATATCAAAATGTCATGAGAATTCAAATTGATGTTGGACATCCTGAGTATTTTCCCTTACCTCCAACAATCAAGTAAGCATTGGGTACAGCCATTTTGACCTGCATCAGTTGTCTGGCATGTCCAGAATGAAACATGTCATATATACCATCAGCATACACTCTTACTGGTCTGGGGGCTTCAAAGAGAATAAAAAAATTTCAACTGCAACTCCCTCAGAAATGCATTATCTGCATTACCAGTGGACAAATAACATACATGTACATGTAACATAAGCAATAATGTAAATGTAAGCTAAAAGATGCAAGACAAATCTTAACAATATCATAATCAGGTAACAGTTTAAAATTTAATGATTGCTGTTAGTTAAATACAGTCAAACCTCATTATCTCAAACTCTATTGGACAATGAAAAAATTTCAAGATATGCAGGGTAAAATGCTTGGAATACAGGGGCTGGGACTTCAAAACCACTTCAACATATCCATGGTATTCTACCTTTTCCAGATTTTGCCATCTCCAGGCTAATTTTGATGGAATAGTCACAGTTCTCATTTTCTGCTATGGCCTCTTCATCATGTGAGAATGGGGCTGGTTTACTTAGTGCTAGCTGTTGAATGAAAATAATGCATCATTACAGGTGCATGTAAGTGCTCATTTTTTGTACTTTCAGATACAACTTCAATGTAAACATCACCTTTGAACCTCTTTTTTATATGTTTCAAGCATACAACGTATACTGTATGGTGCAATCCTAAGAATGCCATCAAAGAATTTAGATTAAAAAAATAAATATATTTACAAACACTTATTGCATTCATGTATGTTCCAAATGTCCCTAACCATGTTTTTCACTTATTTGGAATAATCAGTATGCTAAAGAAGACAAATATCTCGGACTGTATGATGATTGATTTCAAAATCAGAAGTGGTTTTAATACTTCTTACTGTATACAGGGAAATTTTCAACCAAGTCTTATTTTCTCCCCCTTCCCCTTCATCAAGAGTTGGCAAATTTAAAAAAGGGGGTGAATTTAAAGACATTCAATGTTAACACTACTGTGTTTGGGCAAATTTCAACTTGCTAGGGCAAAATTGTTTGCAAGTGTGAACGGTGAAAGGGTGAAAACAGCAAAGGGAGAAAATAACTCAGTATACAGTATTTTATAGACATAGATAATGCACTTCCTAAAACCCCAGACACTATCATATTTCCTTTCTAACTTAAGCTTACTAGATGTTCAACAGGAATTGAGGCTTTTGAAAGTGAAAAGCTTTGTATGTTGATTTTTGAGCATCTACATGCACATACAAAAAAAAAAAATCAATTTTTTGGCATATTTTATATATTGCATGATCAACGGGGAAAATCAATGATGCAATGGCAAAGTGAAAAAGCTTTTATTTCCTAATATTTTGCAGCTTGCAGAGACATTAAAAATAAAATTGTGAAAAAAATTAAATCTAGCATACTTCAGTGTATATATCATGTAAAAGCTAGCTTAAATCATCAAGTATCGCAAGGACAAAGTTCAACATGCATAGAAGTGACATTCTGTATCTTTCACAAAATGACCATTATAATCCCTATAATTAAGTTAGTAGTCCATTCAGTTTCACTGAATTTATCAATTGTTAATCTTGAGAACTTTGTGATGTACATATACGGTACATAGTACAATATATATTGGACTTTGGACTATTTCCTCACATGTGCACTATGTATATTATTTCCACGTTGGGGGTTTTAATGTATGTCAAACATGTGAGATAAACAATAAACACATATTAAGTAGGTGATGTGTCCTTATACATACCCGGTATCACATACCTATAGTAATTCATAAATATTTCTCCCTGCAGTTACCATAAGATATTCCCAGGTAAAATCAAATTTTTATGAATTATGCATCATGTGCAGATCTACTTTAATTATCAGTAATACAGCTATAGTCAAAAATAACTGAAATTTTTTTTTTTAAGAAAGCGCAGGTTAAATGATTTTTTAAAAATATTCAGGTCAGTTGAAAGAATACATGCAGCATGCATCAGTATTAGACAAAGCTGTTATTTTGCGATAAAGCTCCTATTACATGTATAATTGTACAATTCACCCCATTCTCTATAAAGAAATTGTTACCTGCACTTGTTTTCTGGGGACAGAGACCTTCTTAGACCCATGACTCTTGGAAGATTTCTTGGACAGAAATTGTGCAAATTGCTTTTTATATTCATAAGAAAGGTATGAAATTTTCAAATGCAAATCAAATACGAGACATACCACAAATCTATGACAACTGACAAAACACAACAGATAATACCAAATCTCTGTCTAAAAGCAAACCCTTGCCAATGAAAAACAGGAAACGAAGAAAGATACTTAAAGGTATTGATATGTTCATGTTTCATTCCAACATTCTGCTTATAGAGGGCATACCATACAATATCAAAAAGCTGCAATTGTCACAAAATTAAGTTATACACAAAATGAGCAAATTCAGCTAAAAGAATCTAAACATCTTACCCGCGTATGCTGGATATTGCTGTTAATTTGAATATTCTCCTTATTCTCTAGATTTTCTATCTGCATTTTGTCCAGCTTGGGACAGAGTTTATTTGTGACTACACTCATCTCTGTCGTACTAAGAATGAACTCCCTCACAACACAATTCAGTGACTTAATAGGCCCTTCTGGTAATGATGCACTTCATATGTGCAGTATTCAAACGATCGGTGATAATATATTACTTATGGTCCAAAAGATGAATATTGAACCCCAGTGCAAACAACAAAATCCCAAGGTTCAACTACCCTGTCAACTGACTTTTATCTCTGAACTTTCATTCTTTGCTGGGTGACATTTGTCCAATATCATTTGGGTATAATGGATACCCTTTAGGTCAAATAGTCTACCCCTATAAATATACATTGTAATCACCATTGATTAGTGTCATTGTATTTTGGACTTTCTCATCTTCTGTTCTTGTTTCTGAGAAGCACCTAAGGACAATCCATGACAGGTTAATTATTACAGGGTATTTTCAGTGAACACTTTTTACAACTGTCAACTTGATTTTTTTTTCCAGAAAGGTAGGATAATTATAATTATTACTTTCTGGGGGAATTCCCTGATATATCTGCTTAACAAAAGTATGTGTTATGATTAAAACATAGTTTTATAAAATAAAATGAAGCATAAAAGTAATGTCATTTTGATTAAAAACAAAGAAATTATTGGATACAAGGATGTGAAATTAAATTTCAAGGAAGAGAAATAACTATTGAGGCCCAGAGGGAAAAACAATTAAATGTACATTATGTAACTACAGAGGAAATTAGTGATGCACATGTTATGTTCATTAAATGTGAAATTGTATAATTTTATTGTTTAATAACTGTAGGGTTATCTTTTATTAAGCAGGCTTAGTTTCTAAAAGCACTTTCTTTTTGGCCTGTTAATATAGTTTTTTTTTTTCTATCTCACAAAGCTTGAACAATGACATTCACCAGTACATGAATGTAACAACATATTTGAGGATTTTTAACTGATCACTATATGGAAATAACCTTTTTTTAAAACAAAATCAGACAGTGAATACATGTATATAGTTTGTGGATTAAATAAAAGATATACACTGGAAAAATAAACTCCCTTTCATGAATAAATTTAATAAAGATCGAAGGTTATGAAAATATAAATCATATCTAACCATTCCTACAAAACTATCTATGTTAAGGATTAGTAAAAAATAATTGTGTAAGGTCTAATATATGTTGATAGAAAATTTGCCCCAGTTATGATATTAAATACTGAAAAATGTTAGATGTCAGTTTTTTACAGCTTGTCAATAAGTGCTTACAACATCTGTTATGATGCATATGAATATAGAATTAGAAAAAAAAATGTTAGGGAAAAAGTATCTCTGAGATTTAATTTGAAAAGTCCAACATGAAGTACTCTAACAAACTCACAGCATAACGACTTTCTTCTCCAATGACATCTCCATTCCGGTTTCGTTTTCTTGCACTCATTACTGAAGTATGTCCACCTCCTGAAATAGATAAATTGCCATGATTACTGATTGATATTTTTAATATTTGTATATGTACAGTCTGACAATCAGCTGATAACCAGCTGATGGGGTACATAACACAAAAACCCAGCTTATAAAACAACCTCTGCTTCCTCTTCTTCTTTTAGGTGGCATCTCAAAAATTGTGTGCAAATTCTATTTGTGTTTGTTTTCAAATCCCATTATAATTTGTCAACATGACAGATGGAGCATTGCAACAAATGGTGAGTTATAGTAAAGGTGTCATAGATAAACAGATCAAATATACCATGAATCAATAATATTTACCTCATGAATATGATCTACATACTTATCAGAAATCAATAATATATGACATTTAACTTCATGATTGAAGGAAGTTAGCATAGTTGCATAGTTACTTTTTACTTCAAAATTATTCATACGCCTTCTTAATTGATGAAAATTTTAGCTAACCTGTCTCAAAAGTCAATTCTTCTTCAATTTTTCTGAGAATTTTTCTTGCCTGGATTTTCTAGACTGTCACCTTCACAATAATTCCAGCCAAGTGGCTCAAGCTGATTCTCAGCCAAGATTATCCCACTCTCCCCCCACCCTCCTTTACATAATAGTACTGGGCTTTGTCAGAGAGTTATTCTACAGCAGAAGCAAATAACACATAGGTGTAAATATGCCAATGGAATCTTGAAAATATTAAAGTACTGTAATTAATTTATAACAGAATTGTTACACCTTCATTTGAATATTTTATTTTAATTTATTCTTTGAAAAACACCAAAAATAACAAGAAGTCTTGGAGCCAATGCTCACTAATAATATCCCTGCTCAGATGTGAATATATATGCTCTCATGTGAATATACAGACAGACACAAGAATAAACAGGAAGTTGACATTGGATTTGTACAAAATGAATCCAACCATATGGCATGCCAAAACATAGAGTATGCTAATTTTTCAAGCATCTGCGAAGAGTAGTTGCTGAGAAAACTGCAACAAAAATTTGTTATGAACAGAAAGACACACACACAGACAAGCAGACACACAAGGGTAAAAAAATATACCCCCCTCTCCTTTAGAGGAGGAGTATAAAAATATACTGTAAACATACATAAATAAGCACATTTACACCTGAGGCCATCATTAAAAATATCTTTGTTTCCCCTAACCCAACCCTAAAATTTCAAGTTGAGTAGGTAGGTAGGTAAATTATTATTTTTTTTCTGACAGCAGTTTTGAAAATACATTCTGAAAATTGAATAATATCTCCATATATAAGAAAGAACAAAAGAAACCGATTTTTTAAACCGAATATCATACCAATGAAATTTAAAAGCAACATGTATGGTAAATTAATTCACAAATATTATTCATTTGAACTTGTGAAATATCTCAAGCCAGCGTAAATTTATTGAAATTGAATTTTTACAAAAAGACAAGATTCGCAAATACTCGACCATCGGCCATCCGAGTATATATTTTTCAAATCTACTATCTTCTTCGAGTGCTTACACAGATAAAATGTCAAGGGCCTTGCGTGGCGAAGTAATTCTAGTGTTTCGTTTTGAAGTCACGACGTAATTCAGGAGCTTATTCTAAGTCACTAGTCAGTCAAATGAGACCGTAAAAAAACGTAGGGCCATGCAGTCTCACAGTATACATGTAGATGTTGGAACGATAAAGATCCCTTACTGATGCTTTATGATCAATGGCCATAAGTGCCGAGAAAAAGTCTAAATTAGGAGCCCTCCACCAGGCAGGTGTTCAAATGTCGACCAAGCAATTTTTAAAGCTATTTTAAAGCAAAGAAACAAACTATTTTACACTTAATACACTGGACGTCTCAGGAAGCCGTACCATAAGCCAACTTTAAAGATTTCAACACTATTTGAAAAGAGAGTACCTGTATAAACAATATTTAATTCAACCAAACCATATCAAAAATGATTAAAGTTTCATTTATCTAATGTTATAGTCATGAAGTTTATCCCATTAATAAAAGAAATGAAGAAACGACATCCATATTATATTCATCAAGATGAAATAATTATACAAAGATATATTTACAAATCCTATGGTCCTATATAGTAAAAATAGAATCATACATGAAGTGTTTTTTAGACCGAAATGAATGAAATGGAGTGAAATTTATTGATATGCATACACAAATTGGGCCCCTCTTCTGCTCATGAGGCAGGCTTTGTCATGCTTACTACGTAAGTTAATTTTAGAAGACACATTTGTAAATACCATCTTAACACTCCTTAGTCATGGTATATTTAATTCACGAAATGTTTCAGGAGTGTAGGATTCTAATAAGTTAAAGATGTATATTAACATTGATACATCGCCGTTGTTTTATAATACTAAATAACCCTCTGTGGCCACATGTTGTGGGCGCCTAATGAGAGTAAAACAAAAGCCGCCGTTCTGATAAAAAACGAATTTTGATGAAATTGTGTTTTATAAAGTTGATAAACAATAAAAATAAATATTTGAATAATCTTATTAAAAAAAACTTTTCAGTCGGCACGATTTAAGTGGGTCAGTCGCATTAGGGGAAACAAACCTATTTTTTTATTTTGGCCTGATACATGTATCATGATTATATTTCAACCATCTTCTTCAAATAATTAGTACTATCATAAAATAGTGCACTAGATTTTTAACAAAAACATGTATTATTGTTAATCATATATTGTTAGCGTGTATATAAATTAATGGACAAGAGGCAACACGAAAGACATTAAAATATAATAAGTGCTAAAAATAAGTAGGTTTTACAGTATTTTTCACTTTGTGAAATGCTTCTATACATACTGACTTTCATACCTATGTTTGTTTATTTAACAAAGCTTACAAGAAGTTTACTTAAAGTCTGAAAATTCACTGCAAATCAGAAGATAATAGTTTCATTTCTTAGATGCATAAAAATCTAGCCTCAATGTATTGTTCGAGTCCTAGGAATAAAAGGTAGTAGTTCAGTGTATTGTGACACCATATTCAATTTCCAAGCTATTTACTGATGAAAATTGCAAGATCAATATTTCAATGACAAAAAATTATTTACTGATCAGCTGATAAAATCAAGAAATTTTAAATACAAGTGCTAAGATAATTTTGTGTTTTATACAAACAATGCACAATAAAACAAACCTTATCTGATCTTTATAAGATCTTTACAAATTATCCTGTCGTGAATTGCCTAAAATAGAAAACAGGGAAATGATTGAAGAATGCAATACAAATATTTTCAAATGCATGATGAGAACTGTTAAAAATACACCCTAAGCCATTATAACTTATGTGACTGCATGAGTAAATGATCCATGGCTGCAGGAGTTATAGTTCCTGGGAGTCACTCACAGATTAAGAAACACCTAAACACTAATTGATTGGCACTGATTGGTCTGTTTCCCTGAACTTTCAATTTGAATAACTAGTACATATGACACTTAAATGATAATACTCCGTCTCTAGAAGTAGCACCTGTAAAACACACACGACAGCAACCTTTCAAATCAATATTTTTGCTTTTTCTCCCTTCTTATTACTGTACAAGCACAATGATCATGAAAAAAAATACTAATAACTTCTCTCTGCATCATTTCCATTTTTCCTTAAAATTGTTGCTGTGCTATATGTAAGTATATACTTTGGATTTCCTAGCAAAATTATTGTGTGTAGTGCTATGTAATATCTTTCAGAAGGACCCTTGCAAACACAAATTAAAGCTGAAGTTCATTTGAAATCAAAACCACCTACACATCTACTGCATAACAAGGCTTACATTGTAAGTGCTAAAGGAAGTGTGAAGAACTTACAAAGTATAGGAATAATGCCACTTCTCTGTACAGTGATATACATACTTGCCTGAAGGTGGATGTTCCAGTGAAATGATTACCAGACGAGGTCAAATACTTTTAACAATCACCAAGAAAATGTTGTTAATTGTATAGAATTATTAAATTATTTTTTTTAACATTATCACCATGAGACATACTTAAATGTAAGGTAAAGTTAACATGCTTTAAAATAATGAAAATCAGTTTTGGCCAAGGTCAGTCAGTGAAATATGCAAGTCAACATGAAGATGATCCATGAGATTGGGTACATCCACCATTTGCACCTTACTCCATCTGATGGTCATCCCCCAAAATCACAAGCATAATTTACATACCACACAGGTCAAAAATGGGCATTTGACAAAATTCTGAACTGCACTTTTAAATAGTAACAATAAATTTCAATAGTGAGGGTAAAAACTTTGTGATGTTTAATTCACTTTAAAATATCCTCATTCATTAAAATTTTCATCAAAAAATAATGCCCATTTGTTTACTGTTAGTTTAAATTGTGCAAGTTCTGTGTCTGATTTATTTATCTTTTTTTTGTTGAACTTTTCAAAATTCTGTATTCTGCTTGGGTTTGAACTCTTTTGTACTGCTTTTCTACTTCATACACTGAAAATGTGACTCAAGAAACAATACTGGAGCATCTGATTATCACTTATCATTTGATAATAAATGGACAAAAAGTTGCAAGAATGTGACTACTCGTACATTTTTTGTGGCCCCACCCTACCCACCCTAAATTTGAACAAACTTGAATCTATTCTACCTGAGGATTCTTCTATAATAATGACTAATCATGGCTTTGCTGTTCTTGAGCAGCAGATTTTTTCAAGATGATTCCTATATATATATTCTTATGCAACCCTCTGTTGTGCCCCCCCCCCAACCCCTGGGGGTCATAATTTGAACAAATTGATTTTACAATACCTAAGGTTGCTTCTGTATAAATATGACTAATGATGGCTCAGTTTTTCTTGAGAAGAAGATTTTTAAAGATATTTTCTATATATTCCTATGTAAAACTTTGACCCACTGTTGTGGCCCCACCCTACCCATGGGGTCATGATTTGATCAAACTAGAATCTACTCAGTACTCTACCTGAGCCTTCAGCTAAGGTGAGCTAAAAAAGGTATGATAAAATAGCTAAATCGAGCTATTTTGAATAGTTAAACACAGCTATATATCTAACTCAAGCTAGGTCTATATAGCTTAATCATGAGATTGTGCCGGACCTGTTCACAGGTACTTGCTCCTGGAGCAGTGTTTTCAATAAGAGCCGGCAACCGGCAAATTAACCGCCTGTACGAGAAATTTTGCCGGCTGTGAGATTTCCGTAATTGGGATTTTGCCGAGGTTGGTACGCGAAATCCGTAGATTTTATCGCGACTATCTACATAATATAGAGTAACTTCCCTTGAGTGCGCTCTTTTTCATGGAAGTTTGATTTGATCCAATACGTACCACAACTACTGAACAAGGCTATAACTTGCAAGAGTAAAGTTTAAAGAATAAATTTTTAATTAATAGTTCCAACCTCATATAAAATTCACAACTCAACGATCGCGATTTAACTTTAGCTATACAGGATATGATTAAGATTATTGAGAATTTGGGGTTTCATTGATGCAAGCGTCAGGTATCTATGGCCTAAAATGTCAAACAGGAAAATAAATGTTTTTTTTTTTAAATATTCACTGTCACTGCACAAACTAGGTCAAGATTATCACAACAGAAACTATTTATATCTAGACCGATATAATTTTAAGACCTTACGAATTAAAGTCTTAATTTTTTAATCGTGACTCAGACGTGGGACATAGGAATTAATTCTTACAGAATTTCCTCAAATGGAAAATGTAAATTTGTATTCTCATTTATTTGTGTTAGCTCTCTTGAAATACAGGAGCAGTGTAACATTTCACATTTAAGAAGGTTTTTATGTACTTTTAGTTTGTATTTGTATCCATTTTCTTAATTATTTCGTTCTGACAATCTGTACAAAATAGTAAATAAATTGAAAGATTTATGATATTTTAGTCTAAGATTGCAGAATATTTCAATTTTTGGGGGTAGTGTACATCACTACATGTTAAAAAGTTCTTAAATTTTTAAATAAATTATTTCCTTAATTTTGAATAATTTTTTTGACCAGTTAATGTGAAAGGGACTAATTATGTAGCATTTTCAGTATGAAATTCTAGCACAAACATTGTCTGTGCTAGAATTTCATACTTAAGTTGTCTTAATGTTTTTACAGACACCTAGTTTTCAGGGAAAAAAAATCATTCTGTCAAAAGTCCATATAACAAATCAGTGAACATGGTGAAAGGGTACAAATTGTTTTCTAAATTGCTTTATTAGGTAAAATTTGGTAATTGATAGTGACAGAAATGTGAAAAATTTATTGGCCTGAGAGGTAAGAAAAATGAGTCAAAAATGCCAACTTTCGTTTTCCGTCGGGGGGCTTCGCCCCCCTGGGCCCCCTACCAGGGCTCCGCCCTGTACCCGCTGGGGGCCTGAGGCGGCCCCCAGACCCCTCGCCGAGATTGGTTTCCTGCTGTTCCAAATATATTTCCTTCTATTGAAAATCTTATTGAAAACACTGCGGAGTGTAAAAAATATTTAATAGCGAGTGCAGCGAGCTCAATAGACTAACGTGTAAGAACAGAGAAAATTCGGAATGAAATCTGTACATACGTCAGGCAAATTTTCTGGGGCAACATTCCCAGAATTCCTTCGATACCAGGGTTCCATGCAAAATTCTTACAAAACATATAAAAGACCAAGGATAATTATTCATTACCGAGAGATATGTTTACTTTTCTTTCTTTGCAGAGAGCTTAAAAGAAACAAAAAATAATTAATCAACTCTACATCGTATTTCATTTATTATTGCTCAAGATCTTTAGTCTCATTGAACCAGTCGCTCGGCTGTCTCCGTAAAGTCTGACGTCTTGTGATGTCACAGTCTAGACTGTGTCTCGTGCGGTTTGACGTTTGAAGAGGCGGATCTTACAAGTGTAAGCTGCTATAGCTTTTTGATGGTACAACTGCGCTCGCCCCAACGGTCACACTGTAAAACATATTAAAAATATCATACAAACTATGTATGTAGTTGGTATATGATTTTTTATTAAACCTTTTTTACACTCCGGCAGCAATCCCCTCTGTGTTTATATGGAGATGATTTTTAATCTTTTTTTTTTAAACACTCCAGGAGCAAGTCCCTGTGACCTGTCATGTCATGACGATCAATCAGAGTATCAGACATTGTCTCACAAGTATGGAAGAATACTTTGGAAGAATACTTTTACCTTTAAAAAAATCTCAGTCCTCAATTCTCCTATTTCATCTTTCAAATCCTGACCATAAAAATGGCTCAGATTATGCCACACCACCAATCACTGTCAACATCTTAACTTACTTAGCTTTAAGTCATAAGTGATCTTTATCATACGACCGTCTACAATATACATCCGGTTGACGGATGCTAATTAACTCGTTCCTTTTCACACTCATATTGAATTCGATGGACACACACAAAAGGTTATTTTAATCATTTGCTAAAATACACTTTAAAATCAAATATAAATATATACTAAATATATGTTTATATAAGTTTAACGAATAATTTTAGCCACAGAAAGTTTTTTCTTAAAAATTTCACAATAATATACATGTACCACATAGGCACTCCCCAGCTTAATTGTTAAAAAATATATACATGTATCTACTATACTATAAATAGGCACTCCCCAGCTTAATTGTTAAAAAATATATATCTACTATACTATAAACATAACCTTGTTATGTTTATAGTATAGTAGATATATATTTTTTAACAATTAAGCTGGGGAGTGCCTATGATGTACCACAGTTGCAAAAATTATGATACAGAACAAATCACAAAAAAAAACAAAAAAAAAAACAGAAACGTAGCATGATCCCCCTGCCCCTTCCCCGTTTTTCCAAAATGTTTTTTTCGTTAATCATTAAAATATGAAAATCTTCTGTATTTCAAGCCCGGTTGGCTCCGAGCATTATGTCAAAAAGAAAGAAAAACCCCACCCCCCAGTCGACGAAATACTGCATGGGTAGGTTTATCGAGTTTGGAAGGTTATCTTTCTAATTCTTCCCCAAATAATAACTATAAATGAATAATTTTATTGATGACAAGTAAATCTATGATTTGAAAAGAAAGGTAATCAAAGATTAGAGCTCACCTCAAATTAAGTATGTTATCTTTAGTAAGACAAAGTCCCACACGCTAAGCTAATATTCTAGGGTGTGCATCTCTAGATGCAACATTTAAATGCAATTTTGGTCCAAGTAAGGCTTGCAGTTAATTGGGAATTGATTTGTTCTAAAAACTTTAAACTGCTCACTCATCCATAAAATGCATGCAAGGCAAGTCTGTTAGTGTGCATCCCTTGAAACATCGTCCATATACATGTTTCGTTCAGGTAGACCTTAAAGTTACTTGGGAATTGATTTGTTCTAAACACTTAGTACTAAAATTGGTCACTCACTAGAAAATGGAAGTCAGATCTAGTGTGCATCTCTTATACATCACCCATATACATATATACATGTTTGGTCCAGGGTATATACAGTAGTTACTTGGGAATGCATGGACATGCACCCAAACTTTATCCTGGTCACTCATCTGGAAAGCGTGAGTCATGCAGATCTAGAATCAAATTTTAGTCTGGTAGCCTGCATCCCTAGATGTATCATCAATGAAATTTTGGTCTATGTAGGGCTTGAAATTACAGTGGAATAAACCTGCTCTAAAAACTTTAACCTGGTCACTCATCCAGAAAATATAGGTCAAATGCAGCATCCGAAGAAACTCTGGTAGGTGCATCCCTTGATGCATCATTCATGCAAGTTTGGTTGAGGTAGGTCTTATATTTATTGCAATGTTTAATCCCCCCAATCATTCATTATCATGATGCAATCTGTGGAAGACCAATCTATGCACCATAAAGATGTATGTAATATACATGTACGTATCAGCTCTAGACATGCATTATTTAAAAAAAAAATTTATTCATGTATAGATTACTGCAACAATGCTTTCTTCTCTTCACTATATTCGCTATAAACTAGGTTAAATATTACACATTTTCATGCGATTCAAACCTTCGCTGTACCATGTCTATACAACGATTTACAAAATGTTCATGTTTTAAAAAATATGTTCAAAATGTCGGTATTTCCTGCAATATCAGGGGACAGAAGTGATTAATGGAATGATTCAATTTATATAATGCTTTTGAAAATCTTTAATAAACTTATTTTGTTAAAGATGTTTTCATGTAATGGTTTCAGTTAGTTACTAATCCGTGTCTTGATTTTATAGAACGAGATCTTGGATTTTGGAGAGGACCGTGTCCAGTGTGGTAGGTGTATTTAACTTCATATAATGAAATTTCAATTTAGTTTTGATTCCACACAGTACATTGTGGGTATAATAGCCAATGTCACATACATTTTACGGTACCTTTTCAGGAGGCTAAATTGGCAATATATTAACTTTCCCATACAATTGGGCAGATATGGTGGAACAAGAAGAGAAGTTAAAGGTATTCACATCAGCAATCAACATTTTATAATATATTTGATTATAATTGTTTATATTCTGCGCAAATTATAATTAATGACACAGGTTCCTGGAAAGGAAATCTTTCTCTCTCATGTTTATGAAATCCTAAAAATATGAATTTTAGAATAATGGAGATGTCCCTGTGCCTCAGGAGCATCTAGGCCAGACAAACATCATGAGTACTGTTGTCGAGGCAGCGCCGCGGGATCTTCTACAGCAGAATTGGCCAAATCTAAGGTAGAAAAATTGCAAATAAATACGATACACTCCCAAAAAAAGTTATATTGATATTAGTAGTCTTTCATAAAAGTTATTTCGCATCTTCGCACTTTCGCTCCTTCGCCTTCGCAACTTTGCACTGTCGCCCACTCGCCATCCCAACTTCGCACTCTCGCATCTTTGTCCTCAGAAAGGCAAAGGTACTAGTGGTCCCAACGGAACATCAAATCTCGCGTGTGCTTTTGACACCCAGTATCAGAAGAAAAAAATCAGGAGACTTGAAAATTGGTTATTCTGGTCAAAATTTTTGATTTCTGTCATTTTCTGTAATGATCTGTCAACAATATGTCATATTAGGTATATTTCAAGCATTTAATACCTTGATTTTGCTATAGTTTAGATCTTTCTATAAATAAATTTATGATATCAAATCCTTTGAATGACGTCACTTTATGACTATAAAGTCTGCGTGTTTTAATTTTCTGGTCTGTGTGTTTTTTTGCGAATAGGTATATATATATATATATATAGGTAGGTTTTTGAAAGATGGGTGAACGCTAAACATAGACAAAACTTGGAATGGCCTAAACTAAGAATGGTTTACCAACATTTTAGAAAAGATCGCTTATGTATCAGATGTAATTTTAACAATATATAATTGATGAAACCCATTTTTAATAACATGTGAAAAATGTAATCATAGAAGAAAGAAAAATTTCAACAGGCTCGTAGAACGCGGGGGGAGGGGGCAGGGGTGCCCCCACTTTTTTCTGAGTATAGTACTCTGCAATAGTAAATTTACCTTTAGATGCCCCCCCCCCCCCACACACACAATGACATACTTACAAGATCGGAAAGCCCCCCCCCTTTTTTTTTTTTTAAATTTTTGTCTTGAACTGATTTTTAAAAATATGCATATTTTTTCCTATGTTTCGGATTGAATGAAATTCGTGAGAAACGGAGAGCTCCTTATTTAAAAGCTTGCCATTTCACTTGTTAGCATTATCCATCCGAACGCAGTTTTGAAATCGAGATATTTGACTATAATAGACCCAATCCAAAGCCAAGAAGATGCTTCTTAACTGTGACACACTTTTTGTCGAGAACAGGCAAATTCCAGGATTTGGATATTGAATTAGGTTTTTTTTTAATTTGATTTTTTTAAAAAAAATTATTTTTAGTTATTTATTTATATACTTATTTGCTTGTCAAGTTATTTTGGGAAGTCCCCCCCCCCCGTTTTGCTCATAACCTGAAATAGTATTGTCATAAGATCAATGTAAAAATGAGCAATGTCATTGTTTCACTGTTATACTATCCATTGGCTTGTACTTTCATTATCATTGTAATCACTTCAAAATTGTCTATTTTGGACTCTAAATTAAAAATAAACATTTCATTCTGGAACATGCATGTGTAAAATCAAACAAAAAAGCAAAAAAGGTTCTTAAAATTTGAGAACAAAATGAAAACCACACACACGCACACACGCACACACACACACACACACACACTCAATTGTATTTTCATAGGAAATCATCATTACTGATAGGTGGAATTTTTGGACCATAAACGTAGATATAAGTAGTGACAAAACAGAAAAAAGATTAATATACAATGTAGTAACCACTTCCAAGAAGTGGAAAACTGTCCAATGATATCTTTATCTATATCTATCCCAAACTATTGTGACTATATGATGAGAATTACTCATAAAGACAGCGTAAAAGCAGTAAGAAATCAAGAAAGAGAAATAAAATATGCACCGGATATAGAATAATGAGGCTGCCAAAAGAGAGAAAGCGGCCAAGAGCCCATGACGAAGTCGACAAAGATAACGAGAAAATGGACAGAAAGAAAAAAAAGAATTAGATTGTAAGAAAAAGACATCACCTGTAGCAGTTGCAGGCACGGATCCAAGAATTTTTTCCAGGGGAAGGAGGGGGGTTCACATCAACTCTAACATATGTTAGACTCGAAAGTTTTGTTTTTATTTGATATAGGGAAAAACCTGATCAACTTCCCTTAACCTGAAGAACCTATTTCGTGTTGGCTAAGACACTTTCTTAAGTCATTTTCCTTCAGATGCATGAATCTCCTCACCAGAGAGAGGGGTTCAAACTCATTTTTTCGTTCTTTTTTACGTAGAAATTTTAAACATTGAAAATCCCATGGGGAGTCCGGATCCCCCGATCCCCCCTCCAGATCTACGCAGCGACAAATTCGGCTGAAGATGCGCATTTTAAGGCAAAGGTGTAAACTGCATCAAGTGCACAGAAACTAGAAACCGGAGGGGGGGGGGAGAGAGAGAGAGACAGAGCGAGTCGATCTACCATTGGTAACCAGTACCAATCCATATAATATATAAATATATATATTCATATAAGTGTAACCGAAATATCACAAGCTGAATTGCCTGAATATATTAAAATTACGATTCATTTGTACATGTATATAAACGTCGAATTAAGTGAAGTTTCACTGAAAAAAAGCAACTTATCTTAGTATGTTCAAAGTAAGTATGTTTTCAAAGTTAACAAGACGGCAATGGGCTTCAACTGTAGGTATCAAAACTGTAATTTGC